TTGTATTTGGGTATTTGGTAATGTGAACATAATTTAAAACTTCAAATGTCTTTAATTCTGCCTTGGTTAAAATTATTGTTGAAACCAGAGGCTATAAGTTCAATAGCACAGATATTAAGAACATAAAGTGTTGATACATGTGCTTTTCAAATAAAGATCACTTGGCTTCCCTTTGTTTATATAGATAGGCAAGACTAGTGGATATCCACTGTTACCACAAAATTTAAATTGAATCTATATTTACTTTCTACCTGTCTTCACAAAACAAAGGTTTTTTTCCCCATGTGTATATACCAAATAGGACAAAGAGATTTTCTGTAATATTGAAAGATTTGTTTTAATAATTCCAAGGACTGTGACATAAAACCTTCAAACTATAAATGTTAAATTTGAGACATTACATTCATTAGACTATTTCAGAAGATTGTGTTTTGTTCAATTAATACAAAGTATATTTGTCTTAGGAGGCTGACTTCTCTCAACAATCTTGTGATAATCACTTACTATGATCTCACATCTGGGGTCATAAGTAACCAAACAATTGTAAATATTGAACATATTCTTATTAATAGGCGGATATTGAAAACATTCCTCTTTGCCAAAAATTATTTTGCAAATAAAATATGTAAATGACTAACTGATTAGACTTCAAACACAATATAAAATCTCATTCTTTGACAATACCACTTCTGGGAGCTGGGAAGATGTGAGATTGAAAAGTAGCAAATCTCTGACTCAATGAAAATTTCCTGACATTGCACCCATAAGGTTCCTCATCATCTCCCTGACCTTATATTGGGGTGTCCCAGGATCCAGTGTGAGGGTTCCTTTTCTTCCTACACTCACTCTCTTGGAGATCCAATCTGGTCTCGGGTTTTAAATAACATCTATTACATGCAAATCTTTCCCCAGAACTCTTATTCTTCCTCTTCATGTCTCAGTGTCAGCAAGTCCCAAACTGACACGAACCCTCCTGATCTTCATCGCCAAACTTACTCCTCTTAGACTTCCCCTTTGCAATGAATGGCAATCCCATCCATCCTTCTGAATTCTTAGTATAAAAACCCTGGAGTGATGCTTGATTCCTCTCTCTCTCTCTCAAACCCCACATCCTTATCCAAATCCTATTAAATCTAATTTCAAAGTATATCCAGAATCCAATCCCATCCCACCCCCTCCACTGCCACTACTATGATCCAAGCGACCTCTCTCCTTACTGCCATTGCCTCCTAACTGCTTTTCTTCCTTTCCCGGTCCCCTTCCGTCCATTCTCAGCTCAGCAGACTGGATGCACCTTTAACACTTTCATAGCTTATCCGGCCTAACCCTGTCTGGCTCTCTTTAACTCCTCGGCCTCAAGGAGCCAGCTCTTTCCTGCTCTGCTGCAGCCAGCTGGTGCCCCTCCTGCCCTGGCCTTTGTACGATTCCCTCTCTCATAACACACGTTCTCCCCCGAGACACGCACAAGGCTGCCCACTGTCATCGTTTTCATGTCTATCTCAAATGTCCCCTTCTCCATGAGGCCTTCCTGACCACACGATCAAACGTAACGACCTCTCCCTGGCACGCCCGTCTCCCTAACCTACTTAATTCTTCTCCAATGCACCTATCACCATCTGCCACACTAAGATTTTGCACATTTATCTTGCTTACCTGTTTCTCTCAAACTCCCTAGGAAAATGTGCGTCCCAGGCGGACCGGGAATGCTGCTTGCTTAGTGCTCTAGCAGCGGCCCCTAGAAATGCGTCTGTACACGGTAGGCGCTTATTGCATTTGCTCCCACGAGCTTGCACCATGCTTCTGTTGCACACCAGGCATTAAGATGTTCCAGTTATGGAGATTCCGCACCACTAAAGGAACTGGAGAAGCTGTCAAGTCGGGCATGAGAATTTGAGGGGAAATGTGCGGAGGTGAGAGGCCAGGGCGCCCCTGAGCAGCACGCCGTCAGTCGGGGCTTCAGCGCCGGCAGCTTCCGGGCAGTCATTCGTGTTCGCTGATCCAGCTTTCCCGCCTTTGAGGGCGGGCAGAACCTTGTGCCCCGTCCCAACCACGCCAGCGGGCGCTGAGAGAAGCTCTCAGGGAATCACTGGGTCCTACAAGGCCGGCTTTGGTGGACTCCTGCGTTGGCGGGAAAAGTTGACATTCATTGCGTGCTAGGACGCAAGGCTTGCAGGGCATGCTGGGAGAGCGCAGGGCACGCTGGGAGAGCGCAGGGCACGCTGGGAGAGCGCAGGGCACGCTGAGATTGTCTCCTGAGGGCCGCGAGGAGGGTGCGAGGGACACGCTGAGGAAGGTGGGGCACGCTGGGCAAGCTGGGAGCCAGGGGCGTTTCCCGAGGGCCGCGAGGAGGGAGTTGCCGCACGCGGGTTCTCAGTCGATGCCCCGCGGAGGCCAGGAGGCTTGGCCTGGGGCCGCAGCTGCTTGGAGGAGGCCGAGTGGAAGCGAAGGAGGCCGCCGAGGCCCTGCCGCCCACCCGCCCTTTCCTCCGCCTGAGGAGAAGCCTGGGGGCGTTGGAAGCGTTGCTTTCCCAGTTGTCAGGCGGTTTTCCCGATTCTCTTCCACACGCTTGGGGAGGCGCAGGTCAAGGCCGTTCTGAGCGCGGGATCCCAGTGCCTGTGCCCTGAGGGCGTTGGTTTGGATCACGAAAAAAAGTCTTCATCTCCAAAGACCCATGAGCCCCAGTTGTTCTGGCATTTTATGTACTGGAAGTTTATAGAATCACCTTTTAAAACGGATTTAGCAGAACAAAGACTTTAGATTCGTTTCCACTCATGTCCGTGACTGTGGACACAGCCAGGCCGGGAGAGGGTGGGCGCTTGCCTGGGGGCCGCCCTGAACCCCGCGCCCAGGCTGATTTTTAGGAAGGGTCCCGTGGGCAGAGGCCAGTGGGGCTCCCGATGGGGCCACGGTCCCAAGGCTTCGCGCCGCACTGCACGCGCCGGGCGCTCCCAGGGCTTGGTCCTTGGGGGGTCTCCGAGTCCTCGCGTGCGGAATTGTGTGGGTTCCCGTTGTGCGCTCCTAGCACTTGTTCCTTGCCCTGCTGGGGATTCGGAACAAGGATGAAATCCCGGGACAGGAACGTAGTGCAGCGACCCCCTGGACAGGATGTTCATAGCGCATCCGTGGTTGTTAACAAGGCTTGGCCAGGCTTTGAGCTTCACAATATACTTCTTTACAGCCTAGCCAAAGAAAACTACACCCTTTTTGAATCTGAAAATTTTGCTAACTAGGAACTCACAAAATTAAAAAATAGTAGTGATTCTAATAAATCCATGCTTATCCCTGATCAGATCACTCTTGTTTACATACAATTTTCCAATCCGTGAGTATTTGAAGATTGGCAAAACGGGAGGACTTGCACCCAGGAACTTTTCAGTGACCTGGAATTTACCTTTCTACAATAATTTAAAGGAAAAATGAGATCTGCTGGGTGCAGTGGCTCACGCCTGTAATCCCAGCACTTTGGGAGGCAGAGGTGGGTGGATTGTTTGAGCCCAGGAGTTCAAACCAGCCTGACCAACATGGCAAAATCCCGTCTCTACTAAAACACAAAAATTAGCCGTGTGTGGGGGCACACACATGTAATCCCAGCTGCTCTGGAGGCTGAGGCATGAGAACCTCTTGAACCCCGGAGGCGGAGGTTGCAATGAGCCGAGATAGCGTCACTGCACTCCAGCCAGGGCGACCGAGCAAAACTTGGTCTCAAAAAGCAAAAGAAAAAGAAAGTAATTTTAGTTGGAAATGTGTGTTAGAAATGAAGGTAACAGCCCACAAACTTTCACCCACGTCTTTGTCCTATTTTCTTTAAAATATGTATTTGTCCTGAGCCAAACCATAATCAGCCTTTTGCCATATATTTTACCTTGATCATTATTGATGCTATCTACTAGAAAACTTCAGGTGAAGAGAATTAAAAGTGTGAAGTCAGCAGTGTTTACCTTGGAACTTGTTTTTTTTTTTTTTTTTTTTTTTTAACTTTTCAAAACATAGAATCAGAAAGGGAGTATTTTTATTTTTCATGAAACCAGGAATCATCTTAATTCATCAACATCTTGTGTGAATTTGTGTTAACCATTTTAAGAGTACTTCCATTTTTAAAAGAACCAACTGGTTCTCTCATGATGAAAATTTCAAACGCTGTGATGCTAGAATGAGGAAGATATATTGGAGCCAAAGGGCATTACCAGCGTTCCTCAGATGACACCACAAACTCATTTCAGTGATTAGAAGGCTACTCACACTGCACATTCCTGGGCCAGTATGTTATTCCTTCTTAAAAAGAAAAAACATATTGATGTTGAAAAGTTGGAAGTAACTAGAGTCCAGCTTACTTTTCCCCCATGTGTTTGTACATGCTAGAGTACTGAGGGTTCACTAGGTTGCTTTGCTTTTATATTCCAGTTTTCATTTCTGTAGTAAAATATAATGTAGACTTCAAAGGTATACCTCGTGAATTATCAACTGTACACTGTGCCTCCAATAGAATTTTAAAGCTGGGTAACTTAGTGGAAACAAAAACTACACAACAATTTAGAGATTTCAGTGAACACTTTCTTTTGTGTACAATGAAAAATGATATATTCCTCAACCTTGAAGTGCTTTACAGAAAAACCTGAAACAACAGAAGACTTTGCTATACACTTTGACTTTTAAAAAATAATAATAATGTTATTTCGATTTTCAAGATAGAGTTTTGCTCTTGTTGCCCAGGCTGCAGTGTGATGGCGTGATCTCAGCTCACTGCAACCTCCGCCTCCTGGGTTCAAGTGATTATCCTGCCTCAGCCTCCTTAGTAGCTGGGATTACAGGCATGTGCCACCATGCCCCGCTAGTTTTGTATTTTTAGTAGAGACGGGGTTTCTCCATGTTGGTCTGGCTGGTCTTGACCTCAGTTGATCTGCCCACCTTGGCCTACCAAAGTGCTGGTATTACAGACATGAGTCACTACACCCAGCCAAAAAATAATTATTTTATAGAAAAGGGAGTGATGAAAATATTCTAAAATGTATTGCAGTGATGGTTGCACAACTCTGAATACAGTAAAAAACAGTGGATTGTACATATTAAATGGGTTTTATGTTATGTGAACTGTATCTTGGTAAAACTTGTACCAAAAATCCTAGAAAATCATTGGAAGATCTTAAAGGTAAATAGCAGTGATACATAACTGCTGAAGTTTGCAAACTAACTTGTTTCTATGATTCTACTCTAACACAGTATCAAATATTGTTTGCTGACTTGGTATTAGAACTCTATTGGTAAGATAATTTACTACCTTTTTTTTTTTTTTGCTGTTTAGTTTTAAAGGTCTGATTTCTGAGACAGTCAAGAGGAAAATATGAATAATTCTAGGCAGCAGTCTCTGTTCTTCATCACACTTCCAGATTTAAACAAACTCTGTGCCGTCAGAATAATACTGAGTAATAAGATGGCAGATACTGAGATTAGGACTACACAAATGAAGATGTGCAGGTAAAAAATACATCTTATAACTAAGACTTTTAAAACTTAAGACCTATAAAAGCTGTCTTAGAGGAATTTTCTATACAGCAAAGTACTCACTCAATTTGTGTTTATAATTTTAAAATAAAGGCAGTCAATTTTGTTTTAACCAGGTATATTGGATTACATTTAAGGAGGGACTTAAAATACTTGCAATAGAATATCTCCCTCTTGAGTTTTTATATTTGTGACCTCTTACATGCTTTTTAAAAGTTTAAAATCTCCACAGACATTCATGAATTAAATCAGGCTCCCAAAAACTTAGAGATCCTAATTAATCCATATTTATGGAATACCTACTGTTTATGGGGCACTTAGAAATAATATAAACATTTTAGATTAGTATAATTTCTTAATTCTCAAGTCAGTATGAGACACTGAGGAGTATTTCTCTAGGATCTGTCTCAAAATATCTGATCCCTCATAGTCTTTGAAAAACAGCTTAGAGGGCTGGGCGCAGTGGCTCATGCCTGTAATCCCAGCACTTTGGAAGGCCAAGGCAGGCGGATCATGAGGTCAGGAGTTCGAGACCAGCCTGGCCAACATGGTGAAACCCTGTCTACTAAAAATACAAAAAATTAGCCAGGCATGGTGGCAGGCGCCTGTAATCCCAGCTAGTCGGAAGGCTGAGGCAGGAGAATCGCTTGAACCTGGGAGTTGGAGGTTGCAGTGAGCCGAGACTGTGCCACTGTACTCCAGCCTGGGCAACAGAGCAAGATGCCATCTCAAAAAAAAAAAAAAAAAAAAAAAAGAAAGAAAGAAAGAAAGAAAAACAGCTTAGAGAAGCCTAAAGTATAATTCCATGATTCTGTGATTAAATTGTTTGAGGCACTCAAAGGAAGAGTCATAGAATACATGAGAAGATTATGTATTTAAATGGACTACTTAGAGAAGAACAAACAATATTAAGGACAATCTGTGACTCCTTTTGGAAATACTAAACTAGGTGGAAAACCTAAAGTGAGGTTTTTCTTCTGTTTGCCCTCAAATTGAAGGTGGCCATGCCCACAGAGTGGGGTTATCTTAACTCACCCTCACAGTAATTGACAGCCAGTCTTGAATAAAGAGAGCAGAGCCCTCTCTGTTAACATCTGGCTGTGTCAGATAACGGCAGGCCTTGCCAAAGCAAGTACCTGATCCACCTGGGTTCCAACAAATATGAAGCCACCAGAAACAGATTGGCCCATGTTGCTTTTTAAAGTAACCCCATACACATCCTAATGGTTATTTTGTTTCTTTGATGATTAGTACCGTTGAAGGTTTTCAGATTTCCAATTGTATTCTTTGTGTGTTTTTCCTATCTTTCCCTTGAACCTTGAAATTTAATTATTAATGGTAATTTGTTTGTGATGATGTTTGTTGTTCATTTGGCTGTTGAAACCACTACCCAGTTCTTTCTGGCTTGGGAAGAATTTCCTTTTTGAAGGAAAAGAATTTAGTCAGTGGTTCTATATATTTAAGTGGTTGATAACTTCACTGACAGGTGAATCCTTAGACTTTTGCCTCTAGTTCCCCCTACCCACCCCGCCCTTTTTTTTTAACAAGGAAAAATGGAAGAAATAGGAGTTAAAAGAGAGATTCTTTACCATGTTTAGATGTCTTCAAGTATATAGGGCAAAAATTGAATTCTAAAATATTAGATTAACAGATGAAAGAGGTTGGGAAATTCAGATGCAGGGACAAGGTCTCACATTAGTATTAGTATCTAAAACTTCCTAATTATTTTAATTCAAATATTGGCTGAGTACCTAAACCTACACTGTTCAAGGTGCTATGCTAAGTATGGGGAAAGAAAGTCTCTAACACAATTGTTGCCTAGGAGAAACTTAACATTTTAACTAACCAAATGTTTAAAATGTTCCAATAAAGTAAAAACCGACAGTGAGTACATTTGTCTGTTTTGACACTATAAAGAATTACCTGAGACTGGATAATTTATGAAGAAAGGAGGTTTAATAGACTCACAGTTCCATAAGCTTAACAGGAAGCATGGCTGGAGGCCTCGGGAAACTTACATTCATGGCGGAAGTCTGAAGGAGAAGCAAGCACCTTCTTCTAATGGCAGCAAGAGAGAGAGTTGAGGGTAGGAAGTACTACACACTTTTAAACAAGATCTGATCAGAACTCACTCACTATCACAAGAATAGCAGGGGGTAAATCCACCCCCATGATCCAATCACCTCCTGTCAGTTATCTCCTCCAACACTGGGGATTATAATTCAACATGAGATTTGGGTGGGAACATAGAACCAAACCATCCATATCCGTGAGCAAGTTCACTTTGTAATATATTTCATCTCCACAGGCAGTTGCTGTTTTTGCATGAAGATATTCTTACATCACCTGTGTCTGGAATATTAAACCAAATTTGGGTGGTGATGTCGGTTAGTATTTTAACATTTTTTTGACATATTACTAGTTGAGAACAATGTTGACAAATAATAATTTAGGTATGATAGCTAAAGTTGCTTATGAGGATTAATTGATTAATCACAATGTGTTACAGGTTAATTGGATTATTAACTAACATTGATATGCCTGATGTTTAAAATCCATTTTTGTGGTTCTAATTTAACATTTATTTTTCTCATTATTAATGCTAAGATAAAGACTAGTGATTAATAAAACATGCAACAGTATGATTTTTAAAATAGCATGGGCTTGATACATTTTATCATATTTTATTTAGACTAAAAGGAAAAAGTTTGACGTTTCAATGAATCTCCTCCTGTTTTTAAAGAACTTGAATCAACATTTCTTCTAATAGAACATTTTATTTAAAAATATTTTTACACTTAGAAATTTTAAATTAGTATTAGAAACATTTCCCAATTCTATATGTAACTGGGAATATAATGAAGTGCCAATAATCTTTTGAAAAAAATATGTTATCCTGAGATTTTCATCAACAATCTTTCTGGAAACTCTGTTTCTCTGATATTTTAATTCCCCAGAATCCAGTGAAATCAACATTTATTAACAATGCTGACAAATAATCTAAAAGTTCTTTTATTTTTCTCCTGGGTCTAGGTTATATGTCCATCTTGTCTTTTTTTTTTTTTCTTTTCTTTTTTCTTTTATTTTCTCCTCTCCTCTCCCTCCCTGTCTCCCTCTCCCTTTCTCTCTCCTTTCCTTCTTTCATTCCTTCCTCCCTCCCTTCCTCAATTTTTTCCTCTCTCCCTCCCTCCCTCTATTTTATATATTATTTTATTTTATTCTTTTAGATAGGGTCTGACTCTGTTTCCCTGGCTGGAGTACAGTTGCTCCATCTTGACTTACTGCAACTTCCACCTCCCAGGCTGAAGCAATCCTCCTATATCAGCCTCTCAAGTATCTGGGACTGCAGGTGCACACCACCATGCCCAGTTAATTTTTTTGTATTTTTTGTAGAGAGAGGGTTTCACTGTGTTTCCTGGGCTGGTCTTGAACTCCTGAGCTCAAGCAATCCTCCTTGGCCTCTCAAAGTGCTTGGATTACAGGCGTGAGCCACATGCACAGCCATATTTTCTTAATATAGTTTTTTTAAAAGACAAGCTTTTGGTGAACAAGGAAATTAATATCTCGTACTTGTATCTTTTTCTACCCAAATATCTTTATGGAGAAAGGACATTATTTTAGAGTACTAGTAAATTCAAGTATGTGAATTTTAGCAAGGGTGATAAGAGGAAAGTAGCTATCTGTTTTTTAAAAATGTATTGCTTTCTTACAAAGGTATTCTGTAAAAAAAAATGATGTTTAAAGTAGAAAATGGGATTACATACATACTATTTTGAAACTTGCCATTCATTTCCCCTTAAACAACCTTTCCTGGATATCTTTCCATGTCAGTATATGTATCTTCCTTATTTTTAAGGCTGGGAAATATTTCATTGTATGGATATATAGTAATTTACTTAATACTTTCCAGTGCACATCTGAGTTTGTGCTGTTACAGTGTTTCAGAAAGCATCATTGAAATTGTATCACTTATTTGTCTGATAGTTTCTGTCTGTTACATTTTTAGAGGTAGATTGTAATACACTTTAAACTATAATATAGATACTGCTAAATTGCTGTCTCAAAAGCTTTTTGCTGGACTGCATGTTACCAAAGGGTCTGGGAGAAAACCTATTTTCCCATACCCTCATGAACACTGTAGATATTCACGACTTTAAATAATTGTCAGTCTGTTAGGTTACAAATAATATTTTCCTTTAATTTGTATTCCTTTTATTAATGAGTTGGAGCACTTAGGCCTTTTGAACATAGTCTTCCATTTATGTCCATTTTCCTTATGTATGCCTAGGAGTTCTATGTTAAGAAAGGTGTTAAATATTTATTTACAAAATTTATTGGCCTTTTCCTTTATATGAATAATGGGGTCATGCCACTCCCAGAAAGGCTTTCCTCACTTTGAAAATGTGCCCACAGATTCCAGTTCAGGGAGAGAATGATCATCACTTCTGCAAGGCACAGAGGCTAATTAGATGATGGCCTGATTCTTTGCCCTCTGCAGAATAATGCCTAAAATCTTTCCTTGTTGCATTATTTAATTACATACTTATGTTAAGTCCTTTTTATAAATGTGGATTTTTGTTACAGATACCATTTTATAAAGCAAGAAAACTTAATGCCTATGTTGAAAAATATGGAGCTAAGGTAAGTGTTAAAAGTGATATTAATAGCATATGTTGTTAATATTGATAATGTATTTAACTCCTTTTGTAAACAAACAAAAACTGGAGAATCTTTCTCATAAATATTGTTATGTGCATGAAAGAACCCAACAAATTTTTTCCAATAATTATTATGTGCACATTTAATTTTTAAAATTAATTTGGTATTATACAAATACAGATATTCTCTTGGTTTCATGTGTGCCCATGTAAGTATGTATTTTCTGGAGTTGTGGCAGACCAGGTCTCACTAACCCAGGCCTCCATTACAACTGTCCCAGCACTGACTGAGTAGCAAGGTTAAACTTTAAAAGCTAGTTGAGCCTGTGCCCTTTTACAAAGGCTGGAATGTAACAAAGACCCCACCAAGAGTTTTGCCTAGGCTTTTCCTGGGCCTTGAAGCATGACAAGATAATGAAGGAATTCTTAACAGGACTCTTTTAGGATGAAACAAGTTTTATCGGGAGTCTGAAGAAACTCCCCAGGCCTCCTCAAACAAATTTATTGGGGTCTAAAGGAACTCCCCAAACCTTTATGATTTAGCAGCAGACAAGATAAAGGTAATCGCCCCAGCACCTAGATCCATTTAGATTAAATAAACTTACTGAGGCTCCAAAAGAAGGTCTTCATGACTCAGATCTTAGTTATAGATTAAAAGAAATTAGCTACTTATGTCTTTAGATGAATGCAGACTTACACGTAGACATGTAGCTTAGAAGGTATATAACCTCTGGAAAACTTTGTAATTTTGAGTTGGTCTGGTAATAACTTCCAGGCCTTCTGCCTGTAACCAGTTGCAGAAAATAAAAACTCTCTTTTTTTCCAGTTCATCTGCACCTTGTTATTGGGTCACAAGAAATAACATCCTGACCCTCAGTTTGATCCGGGAACAGAGTGAACAGTAATGACTATTGCAAGTTTGTTCTCATTTGGATTTGTCTGTGTAGAGCAGAATATGAAGTAATGATCAAGGGTTTTAGCACAGAACTCCCAAGATTTAGATTTATTGGCCAAGGTAAGCAGGTAGTATTTGGCCGTGAAAGCATGACAATAGTAGTGGTTTTGAAGTGATATATTTTAACACTTCTTTAACTTTAGAACCAGATATGATTAGCTCTAGCAATGACTATATCTTTATGTGGAATAGCCCAATTTGTTGGATGGTGATCTAAATGAGCAGTCATTTCCTATTAATATACGCACACAGCAGTTGCTCTAAACTTGCCCATATTTTGCCGTTTAATATTTTTAGATGGAGATCCCACAAAGAGTAATTCCTGTAATTCTTCAGAACTGCCTTTCATATTCATTCACGGCTAGACTTGCTCCAGCCTGGAATAGAACTGGCCATCTATTGATACAAGGTAACTTTATCATTTTAGTCATTGGGGATTTCTGAACTAGATTACTTCTATTATGTGTGTATTAGTCTGTTCTCATGCTGCTAATACAGACATACTGGAGACTGGGTAATTTATAAAGGAAAGAGGCTTAATGGATTCACAATTCCACATAGCTAGGGAGGCCTCACAGTCATGGCAGAAGATGAAGGAAGAGCAAAGGGACATCTTACATGGCAGCAGGCAAAAGAGCATGTTCATGAGAACTCCCCTTTATAAAACCAGCAGATCTCATGAGGCTTATTCACTATCACAAAAACAGCACAGGAAAACCACACCCCCATGATTCAGTTACCTCCTACTGGGTGCCTCCCACAACATGTGGGAATTATGGGAGCTACAATTCAAGATTCAGGTGGGGACACAGCCAAACCATATCAATGTGTATCTGTCCTTAATTTTAAGATATATAACTTTTAGAGAATAATTCTTGAAACTGACCCACCTAAGCAATCTCAAGCAAGCCCACAACAACATAAATGTCATTTCTTTACTTTGGGATTATATACACACTCCTGCTGATGTTTCTTTAAAAAATTATTATATAATACTTGATACTTAAGAATAAATATAAATTATGAAGCAGTATGATAAAATGAACACAATACTGTTAAAACTGAGAAGCTATCCTGAATTTTTGTTGAAGTCTGATTGTTTTCTAAATATAGCAGGAAATAGATACTTAGGGGAAGAATTGGATGTTTCCATCCTTTTAATTGAAGAGATACTTTTTGAATGATTATATTTTTTCTCTGAGCTGTCATCAGATATTCCTTTATATAACAATTGCGTTTTAAAGTATTTTCTTTAGCTTTGATAATTTCACATCAAGCATAGTTATAAATATCAAACATGATTATTTATGAGTTGTAGTAATATGGCATATTCTATGAATTTTTTTAAGGAAGAGATTTTCTTTCTCACATGGGAAAACAAAGTGCTGTTGGTGAGTAAAAATGCATAAGTCAATAGATAATATAATTCATAGTTTTTAAAGAAAACAGTATCATATGCTGGGCATGGTGGTGCATGCCTGTAATCCCAACATTTTGGGAGACTGAGGTAGGTAGATTGCTTGAGCCCACAAGTTGAAGATCAGCCTGCGCAACATGATGAGACTCCATCTCTACAAAAAATTTTTTTAAGTTAGCCAGGTATGATGGCACATGCCTGTAGCCCCAGCTACTTAGGAGACGTAAGTGGAGGGCCACTTGAGTTCAGGCTGCATGCAGTAAGCCATGATTGCGCCACTGCACTACTCCAGCCTGGATGACAGAGCAAGACCCTATTTCAAAAAAAAAAAAAGAATAAAAATAACTAAATCATTGGGTTGTTATAATTATTGATTAATTAGGAATTAGGTTGTATAAGACCTTAATCAGATATTATTGTAATGAGAATTTCACCTGGGAAATCACTTCTTGTTCAAAATGTACATTCTAGACTATATGAGAAAAATTCATCTTAATTGGAAAAAGCCATGTTTTTATTTTCTCTACTTAAGAAAACCATGACCATGAAGGAGTTTAATTCTGCAGGTGTTTATATGTATAGTTTCCAGAATCATGTATTGTCAAAAATTCTTTAGTACTGATGTAAGTCAAAGCTTTATTTATTATAAGAATAGGATTCTTTTTCTCCTTAAAAAATTGTAAAAAGAGACACAGATGATCTAAAGTATACAGTTTAGTATATGGCTTAATCTAGTTCTTTCATTGATTTGCATGGTTATATTTCAGATAGACACTTCCCTAAACAGTAGTCCAGAGATAGCAGATAGATGAGAATCCTGAGTCACCACCACTACATTAATAATGTAGACGTTATTAATCAATCATGATAGCGTTTCATATCATTTGGGCATAGCCTTAAAATCCTGAGCTGTAATCTAAAACTATTAGATCTGAGTTGACTTTCTAGCTGAAGCCTGTTTGCTCTCCTTGCACTAGTTTTATGTTTAAGTTGTATAGTATCAGTCAGTGTGCCCTAGCTCTCTAGGTGAATGGGTTCATTACCTACATCTAGTTTCATCATCAAACACTGTCAATAGACTATAGCTGTAGGGATTAAAAATAACAGTTTAGAAGAGGAAAATTCCTCACTCTTGTGTTAGGATTTTTTTTTAACTTTTATTGAAATTAATACACTATGACAAATTTTAAGTGTGTAGCTCATTTAATTTTAACAAACTAAACATATTCTTGTAACCATTCTCAGATTGAGAAACAACGTTAAGAGTACCCCAGAACCCGCTTCATGTTTTTTTCATGTACTAACCCTTCCCAAAGTCAACACCATCCTGACATTTCAGAATTAGTTTTCTTTATGAAAAAGAAACGCAAAGACTTCAAGGCTCTAGGAGTTCTGGAATCTGCCAGTACATTTGAAGATATTTGTTAGTAAAAGACTACTCAAATCAGAAACGTGGTGTGATACCTCTTTAGATTACAGAAGAGGACAATCTCTTTATTTTTATATATAGGTCAGATTTGTATAAGGTATTTCTTGGATTTTCCTCTTAACTGTGGGGTGTCTCATTTTTCTTGTTGTAACCTTGCCTGTGACCTGCACCCCACACACATTCATGCTGTTTCATACTTTTGTCCTCTTTTAGATGTCTCATCTCTAAACTGCCAAATATTAAGTGGTTATTATTTGAATTTTACCATGTATGGAAAAAAATCTGTTCTTGTTTTTGACTTGAATAAGTTTCCTTTGTTTCTAAAATACTTAATTTAGTAGTTTGGAGTAATAATTCCAATTAGCTCATAGTTAAATGTTTTATTTTCAGTATTAAACATCAACGTAACAGAAACTCAAGTTTGTCTAAGTATAGAAGCTTGCACAATCAGACTACCACCACCTGAGGTACCACATATTGTGATTTATATACTTTACTGTATTTGCTATATACTTTTTATGTTTGTTATTGTTACTAATATGGATTAGATTTTAATTTTTAACATGAAGGGTGGTAGGGAGGTTTTTATTATCAAAATCTGTATTATTAAATGCTTGATATATTTATATTGTTCTAAATCTGCTTCCCCAAAGAAAATATTATTCTGTCCATTTAACACAGGTCTTCACATTATTCCTTTGTTTAAAACTTTTTTAAGGTGCTGAGACTCTCCACAACTTATTCTGTCTTAACACCCACTTCATGCCTCTTCTTTTACCTCCAAATGTAAAAAGAATGATTTCAGCTCATTAATTTCATATTAATTCCCCTGCCCTTGACATTCTGGTGGAATTTTTTTGCATCTGTTTTTTACACATAACACTTTCTGTCTTCTTAGTAGAAGGATATGTCTTTTATTTTGTCAATTCCATAGCACCTAGCATAGAACCTTATGTGCTAGTGTCATTCAATATTATTTTCTTTCCTCTAGGCCAGTAGTTCTCAATGGAAGCAATTGAGGGCAGGGAAATGAATGATTGGCTCCTTATGAGAAATAATTATGTCTAATTTTGGCTGTCACAATGGGAGAAGGTTGGTGTTGCTACTGGCATCTAGTGGGTAGAGGCCAGAGAAGGGATACTACTGCATATCCTTCCCTGCACAGGACAGTAATCTTATCCCCACCCACAGAATTATTCGTCAATAGTGGTGAGGTTGAGAATCCCCAGGCATAGGACAAATGACTCTTCCTTTGCTTAGAATGCCCCTCTGATTGGCTGTACACATTCTGCTCATGTTTTAAAGCCCAGCTCAAATGCTACTCCTCCATTTATTTCCATTTAATTTTTTGATTACCTCTTATGTGGATAAGTAACAAAGGACAATTGATAAGTCAAAGATGAATAGGATCTACTTTTCTGCCCTGGAGAATGATATAAGCCAGTAGGGAAGTTGACCTACATATAAATAACTGGAATGGGTAACATGACATGTATATCTTGGACTGATGAGGAGCCTTCCCAAGGTTCCAAATCCTGTGTGATTGCCCACCCTCATTTAAACCCTCATACTCTCCTATACCATACTGTCATTGTTTTCTGTCACTTAGAATATCTGAAATTGGGTAATTTGTAAAGAAAATGAATTCATTTATTACACTTATAGAGACTAAAATGTCCAAGGCCAAGGGCCATATCTGGTGAGGACCTTCTTGCTGTTGCAGACTCCGTTGAGTCCTGAGGTGGTGCATGGCATCACATAGCAAGAGGGCTGAGTGTGGAAGCTGAGATTTGTCTTCCTCTTATAAAGCTACCAGTCCTAATCCCAAGACAAACCATTAATTCATTAACTTTCTAATCCACTAATCCGTGAATGGATTAATCCATTCATGAGGGCAAATCCCTCATGACCCAATCACCTGTTAAATGCTTCACATAGCCGGATGCTGTGGCTATAATCCCAGCACTTTGGAAGGCCAAGGCAGGCAAATCACGAGGTCAGGAGTTCAAGACCAGCCTGGCCAATATGGTGAACCCCATCTCTACTAAAAATACAAAAATTAGCTGGGCATGGTGGCACATTCCTGTAATCCCAGCTACTCTGGAGGCTGAGGCAGGAGAATTGCTTGAACCAGGACCTGGAAGGCAGAGGTTGCAGTGAGCCAAGATTGTACCTCTACACTCCAGCGGGGGCTACAGAGTGGGGCCCCATCTCAAAAAAAAAAAAAAAGAAGAAGAAAAAGAAAAAAAAAAGCCCCATATCTTAATACTGTCACATTGTGGATTAAATTTCAAAATTAGTTTTGGAGGGGACACATAGTCAAATGGTATTTATACTCACATACTTATTTCTATTTTTATAATTATACTAAGTTTATACCTCTGATTTCCTTTGAAGAAGCATCATGAAGACTAATATTGTGACTTACTGACCTTTGAATTTTCTAGAGATGATACTTCGGTATTCTACACCTGAGTTTGAACCAAATTATAGATTGACAGAGGAGTAAGACATAAATAGAGATCAGAATGTCACCTTTATTACTAGAGTGAGATTATAATTTATCCTCAAAACAGGATGCTTCTGAGAGTGAAAGGGACACTAACCTGATGGGATGCTGGCCCTACATGCACAAACTGGAATATAGAGTCATGCTGTTCTTTACTGGAAAGGAAAAACAGCTCTTGGAGGACATGGCTTATCTGAACCTTAGAGTGATGCAGACTTATCCACCCTCTTATTGCAGTATTGGAAAAACCACAGGCCTCTCTTGGGAGACCAGGCACTGGTTCTGATATGTCAAAGAGAGTGCCTAACACCACTCTCTGCCATCAGGCCAGGTCCCAAGAGGAAGGGGAGGAGGTGAGCCAGCATGCCTGGTTATTCATCCCAATTTTACCTTCTGTATTAGTCCATTCTCATGCTGCAATGAAGAAATACCCCAAACTGGGTAATTTATAAAGGAAAGAGGTTTAATTGACTCACAGTTCCTCATGGCTGGGAAGGCCTCTGGAAACTTACAGTCATGGTGGGAGAAAAGTGCCCAGCAAAGGGGGGAAAGCCCTTTATAAAATCATCAGATCTTGCAAGAACTCACTATCACAACAACAGCATGAGGGTAACTGCCCTCATGAATAAATTAACTTCCACTGGGTCCCTCCTATAACATGGATGGGATTATGGAAACTACAGTTCAAGATGAGATTTGGGTGGCAGTGCAGCCAAACCATGTCACCATCCATCTGCTCTAGGGAAGAATGAACGATGGAGCAGAGTGATTCCAGGAATATGTGTTAATAGAGCTTTCTGGGCATGGAAGGAAACATCAAAAATGGGGCAGACACATTCCTCTCCTCTATTCAACATTATACACTCAACATGCACTTGTTAAATTAAATCAATTCTCTAAATTATGATTGTTCATCAGCTTCTCTGAGTCTCACTTTTGCTTATGTTTTTTATATGGCATCTTACATATTCTGACTGCTATAAAAATTAGTTTCATATATACCTATGTTCCCACTAAACTGTAATCTTTTGGAGATTCTATGTACTGTCTTATTCAATTTTTATTCCCCATGGAGCCTAAAAGATAATTGCATTTAATTTTCCTTTTATTAAAATCTGGCATTGGTTAACATAACCAAAAAGTTATGCCAGATTTAAATAAAAGTCATTTAAAATGACTCAGGTTTATTTTGCCAAGGTTGATGACATGCCCAGGGAAAAGAAACACAAGTTACTATAGGATCTGTGCCCTGTGCTTTCTCCAAAAAGGGTTTTGAGGACTTCAGTATTTAAAGGGAAAAGAAAAAGCAGAAGGGGAAAGAGGAAGGGGAAAAAGGAGGAGGGTAGACAATGAGGCAAGTAAGTGAATCTACATTATACACATGAAAAGAGGGGTAGAGGAAAGGCCAGTTATGCATTTCTGTCACCCAGTAAATCTACATTTACAGTAATAATCTGAACTAAGCTATCTGGGAACAAAAGGAAGGCAGGGTTTTTTCGTTTGTTTTTTGTTTTTGTGTGAGTCACTTCCCAAGCTTAATGTTTCCTTTGGCATAGTAAGTTTGGGGTTCTGAGATTCTGGTTACTTTCTTTCATAGTTATTAGGTCAGGTTGGCGGAGGGGATTGAGGGTGAAGAGGTGAGAAGGAGGATGTTTCTGGTTTCTTTTTCCTCCAGTTTTTGCTTTCATTCCTTTTTTCAAAAATTTGCCATGGCCTCCATTGACTATAAGATGCAATCTCAGCTGTTTACCATGACACACAAGGTTTTCAGCAAGCTGATTCAAACTCACCTTACTTACAGCGTCACCTCCCATTACTGCTCTCCAGGCAGCCAAACTATGAATCATTTCCGAGAGATGGTTTGATCTTTCATCCCTCCATATCCTTGCTCACACTGTTGTCTAAGCCTGTAATTCCCTTTCTCCTGCTCATCTTTCAAGGCTTATCTCAGACATCACCCCTCTGAGGAATTCCCCAGCTCCCAAGTCTCATCTCTGTTGGTGCTCCCCTGCCATGTTTATCACATGCTATCTATGCAAATATCTCATTAAACTGAGAAGTCCTAGAGGAAAGGGTCTGTGTCTTATTAATCTTTCTATCACAGGAGCCTACCTTAGTGCCTGCCACACTCTTTCATAAACATTTATGGAATGAATGGAGCATTAACTGGAGTGAAAGACTAATTTATTTTTTGAAATAGGTGACTTTTGTTTCTAAATTCTTTTTAATTCCTTTGGGCTAGAGATTGGAGTACTTTATAAAATCCTGACTTTTGATCCTATTTAGACAAATTTGAAAGCAGATTTCAGCCTTATCTTTACAATTTAGAGATCAAAAAATTTAAGAGGTAATTGAAACAATAATTTACTCATTTCTTAAATTTTAGACCATGTTAAACTTTAAAATAATACTTTCCTGAAAGTAATTAAATGTTTCGAAGGGAATTTAAACGCACAAATTGCCATTTTACTGTTTGGTTCATTGAGATTATAATTGAATCCACAGTTACATAAGGGATATATTTCAGAAAAGCATTATGTAACCTTAAACTATTTGTCTTGAAATATAATTATATGGAAAATTTCGGAGACTAGTGCCTCGAAACAAATTTCTATTTATTTCATAGATATTTATTGGGTACTATTATGTATATGTGCCAAGTGCTGATGGAAAACATTTTTTTCTCCCAGAATTTTTTGTCTAGGTCAGAAGAAAGAAGAGCATGCACACATAAAACTTACCAGAAGAAGGGAACATTTACTGAGGACTAGTTGATATTCACATACCCAGAAAATTCAGTGTAGGCTTAGAATCACATTAAAACTCTCAGATCTGCACTAACAAACAGTGCTTCTTTGGCATGTTACTTACTCTTGCAGAATCTCCATTTTTCTTATAAATTGGAAATAATGATATCTACCATCTAGGATTATAAGAAGGGTAGTGGAGTAAAGTACATTAAGGGCTTAGCATACTACTGACACCTAATAGAGGTTCAAAAATAATAGCTATTGTTATTATTTTATAGGTAAGTAAATTAAGACACAAAGCAGTTAAATGAGCCGCTCTGGGTCGTAAAGGTAGTAAGTAAGAGGTTCAGGATTTGAGTTTGTCCTTCGACTCTGTTCTTTCTACTATATCATGCTTCCTTCACCTAGCCTTAGGTTTTTTGCATCAAATTTGCATGTCCCATAAAGCCTTACAGAAATAGATACCTAATATATGTTGAATAAAAATACAATTAAAAATGTTTGGTAATGGAGTATCAAAATTAGTGTTATAGGAACTATGTTACTTTAGGAATTAAAAAAAAAAGAAAATGTCTGAGGGAATCATATGTGAAATCTTTGGAATATTTATACTATTTTCCACCCTTTTCTTCTTGAAATAATTTCCTTTCTTGATTTCTCTGAAACTGATTTTTCTGGAATCTCCTGGAATTCATTGGTGGTTCTTCATTCATTTATCATTTTAAATGTTACTGTTTCTTAGGGTTCCATTTTCGGCCCTGTTTTCCTTAGTAGGCTCAACCATTTCAGTGGCTTCAGCCTATACAGCAGTACCTCCCAAATATTCTTGTATAGTTGTAACACTTCTCCCCTCTCTTGGATACTTTCAAATGAATGTATTAATGGCAGTCAGACTCTCTTATGTGTAACACTAAATATATTTATTTGTCACCTTCCCCAGCCCAATATCTGCTCCTCCTGTGTAATTATTTTCATTAGTGGCATCAGCAGCCAATCATTTACCTACCTAAAGACTTCAGAGTCACCCTTGGCTTTTCCTCTTTCTCGTTTTCTCTTTCCAGTTAGTCTTTAATAGACAACTCTAGTCTCTTAAATTGACTCCTTTCTGTCTCCATTTCTGTTACTCTAATTCAGACTCCTTTTTTTTACTTGAACTATTAAACCAGTCTCCATATGGGCCTTGTTTCCGGTTTCTCTCCTTTAAGTTTTTTATTTTTTATTTATTTATTTTTTTTTAAGCCCTGGGAGGAACCTGGGGCCGCAAGTGCGTTCAAAGTGTCGATGATCAATGTGTCCTGCAATTCACATTAATTCTTGCAGCTAGCTGTGTTCTTCATCAAAGCACGAGCCAAGTGATCCACTGCAAGAGTTGTATCCTTCAAGTTTATTTAATTTTTCCTCACAGTGTCAAGAGAGTTCACTTTCTAAGACAAAGATCCCCAGCCTAAATGTCTTTAGTATTTCAGTATTGCCTAGAAAAAATTAAGTCCAAATTCTTTAGATTGGCATTTTAAGAAGAAAGTAATATTTATACTGCTTTTCAGTATGGTTTTGGTCATAGAAGGGCACTTTATAAATATTTGCTAAATAAATAAATACAAAGGGTGAGCATTCGCAGTCTCTTGGGGTATATCGTGAACAGTTGGGTGGTTTGCCAGTCTTTAATCTGTGTTGAGAAAGATCAATGTAAACATTAAGTACTGGTACTATTGAGGTCCCTGCAGCATTTGACCTGAGTCTCTGAATACTGTAGAAAGTACCCAGAAGGATATATACTCGAGCTATATAAGTAAGTGTATGAGAGCCCATAAACTTTAAACATTCGAACCTGATACCTACCTTCTATGAATTCAATTTTAAGTTCTGTTTTCTCTCAGTTTCTTCATCCCTCTGCAACCAGTCTTATTCATAACCATGCCTGCTCTAACCATGTTTTTATCACACAGTTCAGGCAACTGATCTCTTAAAGACAGTACATCACAGTGCAAGATTTATCTCTTGTGCACAGGAAAATATGTGTCCTTATTCATTCTGCATGTCCTTGCTCTTTTGCCTCACAACATAACTAGCTTATCTTATCTTCCTCTTCCTGTATTCATGTTTTCCTGCTCTTCCTTGCTCCTCTATTTCTGTTAGTCTTGATGAAAGCCATAGGAACTCAGAGAAGGATCAGTCACTGGATGTGGAGAAGATGGGTCTAGATCCAGACAATAGGACCTTATTGATAGGAGTCAGATGAATCAGAATGGGGGCAATACTTTAAGCAACTATATTGTTAAAATGCTAATGAGTTGTCCAGGCAATAAAAGGTTGTCTAGTTTAGTTGGACTTCCTTGAAAAGTAGTAGGCAGTGAGGTTAGAACATTGTTTCCCAAAAGATGTTAGGTGGTTGGTTAAAAATGGGGTAAGCGTTTATGAACCATTCTCTCTAATCTAAATATAGTGTCTTTTCACCCAAAATTTGATACTTAATTTTTTCACCCTCCTTGAGGTCTCTCTATATCTTTGGCTAACTGTAACATTGCCTCTCAGGGAGATTTTCCAGGGTAAGAAAGCTGTAATCGGCAAACTTTTGTAGGTTAAATACAAACTAAAATGCCTTATAGGGAGGAAACTGAAGGAACAGGGAATAAAGTGTTCTAGGAGGCTGGGAGGGATATAAAAGGAGACTGAAGCACTGGCTCTTCTTTTCTCCTCCAAAAGACCAGATAGAAATATAATTCCCTTACTCATTCTTCATTAAAAAAAAAAAAAAATCGGCCTGGCGTTGTGGCTTATGCTTGTAATCCAAGCACTTTGGAGGCCAAGGCAGGCGGATCACCTGAGGTCGGGAGTTCAAGACCAGCCTTACCAACATGGTGAAACCCCATCTTTATATATATTAAAAAAAAAAAAAAGAAGAAGAAGAAAAGAAAAAAAATCGAGGTTAAAAGCTATTACTTCAAAATATGAATACCTTACTTTGGAAGAGATTCAACTTCCTGCAAAATTAACATAATTAAAAAAAAAAAACCCTGAAAACCAGCTAAAATAACTACAAAATAGGAGTTTGGGCTTGGATGGTAAGATGGAAAGCATGAAATACTTTATATATTGTATAGAGGAGAAGCAGGGTGAGCTGCAACATTGATTACTTATGTAAAGTGGTTATACCTGATTCCATGTAACTTAAGTCTTTAAAAACTACTTTATAACCTACTGTGTATGTAACAGATATGTATCTTTTAAAATGTCTTCTTTTTTGCTGAATTCTTTGAGGACTTACAAATCTTATTTCTATTAAAAGCTAGAAGAGTTTGAGATTTCCCAGAGGATTATAAAGGACTTTCATACTAACAAGCATGCTGTCATTAAGAGACATTCCATTTTAAGCAACTGGTGCTATGTTTTGCCGAGGTGAGATTTCAATTTGTAGTATCTAAGGTGGGTTCAAAATATAGTAGTTTTCTCTTATTTGCTTTCTTAACATTGACATGTGCAAAAGTATAAACCATTTTGATGAATTTTAAAATACTGAATTATGACTTCACAAAGGCATTGAAACAATATTGTCATATTTACAAAAGTCATGAATTTTCTTTATCAAATTACTAATTGTATTACATATTCACATTTTGTTAGATCTAGCTTCAAAAAGGTAATATTTCTAGATTTCTCATTATAAAATAAAAACTGTCAAAATAATATTAATAAAACCTCATAAACTTTACCTACTAATTAATGATTCATTATAATTTGATATGAGCTGAGTTTTAAGTTTGTACTATCTTCAGGAAAAACTAATTTGTTACTAGTATAAGCAGGATTATTGGGATAAAGTTTTAACTTGCTTAGGAAAAAGAACTTTAGTAGCATACACATAATAATTCAATCATCAAAGCCAGGAGGAGGTCGATAGAAAACATGAGTTTAACTCTAATTCATTCAACTCCTAACAGACTTTTCCCTAAAGTCTAACAATTACCCGTAATATCTTTGGGTGGAAAAATGGTAGTCATTATTTTGTGTTTATAATTGGCACATTTTTTACAACAATCTAATTTAGTTTTTTCTAGTACTTCTAGTGGTTAAGATATAACACAAATAAAGGCCATATATGACAAACCCATAGCTGACATCATACTCAACAGTGAAAAATTGAAAGATTTTTTTCTTTAAGATTAGAAACAAGACAAGGATGCCCACTCTCTTCACTTCTGAACATAGTACTAGAAGTCCTAGCTAGAGCAGTTAGGCAAGAGAAAGAAATAAAAAACATCCAACTTGTAAAGGAAGAAGTTAAATTTTTGCTGTATGGAGGTGACATGAACTTATATATAGAAAATCCTAAGGACTCCACAAAAAACTGTTAGAACTATTAAACAAATTTAGTAAAGTTGTAGGATACAAAATCAACACACAAAAAAGTAGCATTTCTATACACTAGCAACAAACTATCTGAAAAAGAAATCAATAAAAATAATTTTGTCCATAATAGTTAGCAAAAACATACTTAGCAATAAATTTAACAACCAAGGAGGTGAAAGACCTCTACACTGAAAACTGCATATCTGTGGAAAAGTACAGATGACAAAAGCAAAAATAAACAAATGCAGTTACATCAAACTGAAAAGCTTCTATATGGCAAAAGAAACAGTCAACAGAGTGAAGAGACAACTTACAGAATGAGAGAAAATATTTGTAAACCCTACATCTGATAAAGAGCTAATATCTAAAATATGTAAGGAACTCAAATAACTCAATAACAAGAAAACAAATAACCTGATTTTAAAATTGGCAGTGATTTTAAAAGCACTTGAATAACATTTCTCAAAAGAAGATATTTAAGTGACCAACAGGTATATTTAAAAATGCTCAGCACTGATGGAGATATCCAAGATGGCTGACTAGCAGCAGCTCAGGGTTGCAGCTCCCAGTGAAGGTGCAGAGAGTGAGTGGACGCCAGACTTCCAGACGAATTTTTGTTGCCTGCGGACCAGGAGCTTTCCAGCGGAGGAGCCCCACGGGTCACTAGAGTGACTCTTTTGGTTGGTGCGGCTGTTTTGCCTGCGTCCTGGCGCAGCAGTTCTCAGTGCTGAGTATGTGGGACTGGATGCCCTTTTAGTTGGCGTTTGGAGCTCTGGGAAGGCAGAGTCGCCCATTCAGCTGATTGAAGAGGGAACTGAAGCCGGGAGCCAGACTGGGAGATTCCCCGGGCAGAAAAACGCCACGAATCTCAGCACCGCTGTTTCAGCTGGCGCGGTCACTACACGGGAAATTGCATAGATCTTAGCGCCTTTTCAGCAGGCGACTGGGGACCTGGGAGAGAATTGACCATTCAATTGGGAAAAGAAGAAAAGGGGGCTCCGAGGTGGGGAGCCAGGTGATCCGGCTCGGCTGGTCCTGCCCCCACAAAAAAACAGCAATTGGAAACGCTGATGGTTGAGAGTTTCATAGCAAGCACAGCTGAACCCAGGAAGGTCCAGCTCTGTGGGGGAGGGGTGTCTGCCGAAGGAAAACAAAGAAACAGAAATAACATCACCACCAACAAGCTGGACGTCCACTCAGAGACCCAATCTGAAAGTCAGCAATTAAAAAGACGACAGGTGGATAAATCCACAAAGATGGGAAGAAACCAGTGCAAAAAGGCTGAAAACATCCGAAATCAGAATGCCTCTCCTCCTTCAGGGGATCGCAGCTCCTCATCAGCAAGGGAACAAGGCCTGATGGAGAATGAGTGTGATGAATTGTCGGATTCAGGCTTCAGAAGGTGGATAATAAGAAACTTCTGTGAGCTAAAAGAACATGTTCTAACCCAACGCAAAGAAACTAAGAAACGTGAAAAAAGGTTTGATGAAATGCTAACGAAAATAGACAATTTAGAGAGGAATATAAGTGAATTAATGGAGTTGAAAATCACAATACGAGAACTTTGCAAAGTATGCACAAGTTTTAGCAGTCGAATTGATCAAGCAGAAGAAAGGATATCAGAGGTCGAAGACCAACTCAATGAAATAAAACCAGAAGACAAGATTAGAGAAAAAAGGGTAAAAAGGAATGAGCAAAGTCTCCAAGAAATATGGGACTATGTGAAAAGACCTCATCTATGTTTGATAGGTGTACCTGAATGTGATGAAGAGAATGAATCCAAGCTGGAAAATATTCTTCAGGATATTATTCAGGAAAACTTTCCCAACCTAGCAAGGCAGGACAATATTCAACTCCAGGTAATACGGAGAACACCACAAAGATATTCGTCAAGAAGAGCAACCCCAAGGCACATAATCATCAGATTCACCAGGGTTGAAATGAAAGAGAAAATGCTAAGGGCAGCCAGAGAGAAAGGTCAGGTTACCCACAAAGGGAAGCCTATCAGACTCACAGCAGATCTCTCAGCAGAAACCCTACAAGCCAGAAGAGAGTGGGGGCCAATATTCAACATCCTTAAAGAAAAGAACTTTCAACCCAGAATTTCATATCCAGCCAAACTAAGATTCATAAGTGAAGGAAAAATAAAATTTTTTGTGAACAAGCAAGTACTCAGAGATTTTATCACCACCAGGCCTGCTTTACAAGAGCTTCCGAAAGAAGCACTACACATAGAAAGGAACAACCAGTATCAGCCTTTCCAAAAATACACCAAAAGGTAAAGAGCATCAACATAATGAAGAATCTACATCAACTAATGGGCAAAACAGCTAGCTAGCATCACATGGCAGTATTAAACTCACATATATTATTATTAATCCTAAATTTAAATCAACTAAATGCCCCAATCAAAAGACACAGACAGGCAAATTGTATAAAAAGCCAAAATCTATCTGTATGCTGCATTCAGACCCATCTCACATGCAAGGATACACAAAGACTCAAAACAAAGGGATTGAGGAAGATTTACTAAACAAATGGAGAGCAAAAAATAAAAAGCAGGAGTTGCAATCCTCACCTCTGATAAAATATACTTTAAAGCAACAAAGATCAAAAGAGGCAAAGAAGGACATTACATAATGGTAAAAGGATCAATGCAACAAGAAGAGCTAACGATCCTAAATATATACGCACACAATACAGGAGCACCCAGATACATAAGGCAAGTTCTTAATGACTTATAAAGAGACTTAGACTCCCACACAATAATAGTGGGAGACTTTAACATCACATTGTCAATATTAGACAAATCAGTGAGACAGAAAATTAACAAGGATATTCAGGACTTGAACTCAGACCCAGAACAAGTAAACTTAATAAACATTTATAGAGCTCTCCACCCAAAATCCACAAAACACACATTCTTATCAGTACCACATTACACCTACTCTAAAAATGACTACATAATTGGAAGTAAATCACTCCTCAGTAATTGCATAGCATTTCGCAGGTTTAAACGAAATATTGGTTGGCTGCTCGTTTGTTATTTTCCTCCCTTATTCCTTCCTGTCTCCATTGTTAAGCATATTTATTGGCATAAAAGAGGTTTTCAATACCCATTTTTAGACTGCATTCTAGCCTGGCAATAAAGCAAGACTCCCGTTCTCTCTCCCTCTTTCTCTTCCTCTTTCTTTCTCTCTTTCATTCTTTTTTTCTTTCTTTCCCTCTTTCTTTCTTTTTCTTTTTTTCTCTCTTTTTTCCCAAAAAAAAAAAATATAGAGTATAATTTAATTGTTTGTACCACAAAGGATAAACGTGTGTTTTGTTTTTTTTTTTTTTTTTTTTTGGGACGGAGTTTCACTCTTGTTACCCAGGCTGGAGTGCAATGGTGCAATCTCGGCTCACCGCAACCTCCGTCTCCTGGGTTCAGGCAATTCTCCTGCCTCAGCCTCCTGAGTACCTGGGATTACAGGCACGCGTCACCATGCCCAGCTAATTTTTTGTATTTTTAGTAGAGACGGGGTTTCACCGTGTTGACCAGGATGGTCTCGATCTCTTGACCTCGTGATCCACACGCCTCGGCCTCCCAAAGTGCTGGGATTACAGGCTTGAGCCACTGCGCCCGGCCCAAGGATAAATGTTTGAGGTGATTGATGCCCCATTTACCCTGATGTCATTATTACACATTGTGTGCCTGTATTAAAATATCTCATGTGCTCATGAATATGTATACCTAGTATATACCTTCAAACATTTTTTAAATGTAAATAAAGAACATTTGTGATGCATTTTATGAAAAACAAAATGCTGAACACCACTAATCATCAGGGAAGTGCAAATTCAAGTCACAATGAGAGTTCACCTCATGCCTGTTGAATGGCTATAATCAAAATGACAAAAAATAACAAATACTGGCAAGGATGTGGGGGAAAACAACACTTGCACACTACTGGTGACAATGTAAATTAGTTCAGCCATCATGGAAAACAGTATGGAGGTTCCTCAAAAAATTAGAACTACCTTATGGTCTGGCAATCCCACTACTGGTGATACATACAAAGAAAACTAAATCAGTACCCCCATGTTCATTTCAGCATTATTCATAATAGCCAAGATATGGAATCAACCTAAGTGTCTAGCAACAGATGAACGGATAAAGAAAATGTGGTATATAAACAAATAGAATAGTAGTCACCTTTAAAATAGAAGGAAATCCTGTCATTTGCAACATGGATGAAACTAGAGGATATTATGTTAAATGAAATAAGCCAGGCACAGAAAGAGAGATACTTTACCATCTCACATATTTGTGGACTCTAAAACAATTGAACTCACAGAAACAGAGGTAGAATAGTGCTTACCGGGGGCTGGGTAGGTGGAAGTGAAGGGGTTGATTGGGGAGATGTTGGTCAAAGGATACAAAATTTCAGTTATGTAGGAAGGATAACTTCAAGAGATCTATTGTACAGCATGGTGACTAAAATTAGTAAGAATGGATTAGATTGGTGCAAAAGTAATTTCGGTTTTTGCTATTGAAAGTAATGACAAAAATCGCAATTACTTTTTTTACACACATATTAAAAGTCATTAAGAAGGGGTAAGGTGGCTCACACCTGTAATTGCAGCCCTTTGGGAGGCCAAGGTAAGCAGATCACTTGAGGCCAGGATTGAGACCAGGCTGGCCAGCATGGCAAAACCCTGTCTCTACTAAAAACACAAAAATTTGCTGAGCATAGCGGTGTGCACCTGTAATCCCACCTGGTGGCTAAGGCAGTAGAATCACTTGAACCTGGGAAGCAGAGGTTTCAGTAAGTCGAGATCACACCACTGTACTCTAGCCTGGGCGACAGAGTGAGACTCTGTCTCAAAAAAAAAATAAATAGCACTAAGAGTACAGTTTAAGTGCTCTACCACACACACACACACACACACACACACACACACACACACACACACACGCAAAGTATGTAAGTGCATGTTAATTAGCTTGACTTAGCCATCATAATGTATATATATATTGAAATACAATGTCGTACATGATAAATATATACAATTTTTATTTGTCAGTTAAAACAAAAAGACAGTACAATGTGTTTGAAACTTGAGCAAATGTTTAGTTTATATAGTTAGTGAAATAGTTGTTAAATCTTTTTTGAACACTTTCTAAATCACATAGTTGACTTATTAAACTGTATTTAAGCATTGGCTCATAATGTCTTCCTCTCATTTTTCACAGTATGAAAATGGGACAGATTATAAATATTCTTCATGCCATCCCCCCTGGCTGTCCTTTTCGCTCATATGAAGATTTCCAGAGACACTGGGATGTCCTGGTAAGGAATGGAAATATATGTTACATTAGAAGTTACCTGATTTTTGTTTATTGTAACTTAACCTAAGTTCAGCTTTCTCTAAAATATTTAAATTTTGTGCTTAATTTTTAGTATGGCTATAAACTTCCAGATGATTGTAGAAAACTTAAAATATACTGCAACATCTATTTCAAAATGCTCGGAGAAAGGACCTTCACATATCCTTTACACACCAATTGTTTGAAGCAGATGCTCTCTGCCCACCTTATAATCTAGTTTTGTTTCCGCTCTCATGGTCATCCTTTCCAAACTTCTCTGTGTCTGACTGAAACTATGGTACATTTCCCCCAACTTCTTATCTGCACAAGTGTTTTTGGTGTGCTTAGAATTTCTTTCTATTTTTATTTCAGGATGAGCTTAATAAGGATATTTTCTTTTAACACCACTTCAACAATTTAGAAAACAAAAGTTAGAAAAAAATGTGTACTTAGAAAGTAGAAAGCAATCATGATTCTCCTTAGCCAAGTGCTCCCTCCAGTGGCATTTCAGATACAATTGAAAGGGTTCGATTAAAAGGGTAGGTGGTAAACAAAAGATTTTTTGTAAAACAAGATTTTTCTTTTGAGGAGATTATCTAATTTTATAGGAAAATTTTAGATGATTTGCCTTATGCTTAATTGCACCCCATTGACTTAAGAAAATGTCTTTTTAAACAGTATTTTTAAAATTTTAAATATACATATGAAAAGAGTGTAAGTGCTCAGGCGAAACTCAAATCTTAGTACTGATTTTACCATTTGTGTCTGTATTCTGACCTGCTGGAGTTTAAAAACGAAACAAGAGCCATAGTGTTGTCTTTTTGCATTTTACGTTTCCTAAGCCAAACATTTTAATAGTAAAACTGGGGTTAGCAAAAGTTCATTATTTTCTTTCATAAGATGCCAATGTATTATTCAAAATCTTCGGAATATGTTTCATCAGAAAAAGTAACTGCTTTTCTCGAAACACCACTTTTGTAGCTTGAATACAATCTATATATATTATTTCTCTGTCCTGATTTTTTTCAGTTTTTGGAGGTGCAATCTGTTCATTGTTTATTATAATACTTATTTTGTAATTCGTAAGGGTTATAGTATCTTCCTTAAAAATCTTTTTTGGAATACCGTAATTGCCCTTTCATTTAGAAAGCCATATAATAAGATATTATGAATTCTCTTGATTTGGAGTGTTAGAATAGAAAGAATGAAGATCCCTGTGAGAAAACATGCTTTCAGCTGTGGATGGTATCAGATAAGCAATATAAAAGAGTTAGGATGTATTTATGTGTGCCTTTTTGACATTGCTACTTTAATACTTTTTAAAATTCCATATAAATTTCTGCCTCTTATGTTAAAAAATCAGACATTGTTCTTTAACATTGTTCAGATATCCTCTCAGTTGCATCAGAAGTCAGCCTGTACAGTTCTTTCCAAGAGTAGATTCGGAAGTTGTGTTGAAAAGTTTTCTTTCAGATTTAAAATCTAAACTGCACCATATATGTGGATTTCCAATAAAGATGACAAGTAAACCGTGCTACTACACACAAGAACTAACTAAACCTAGTATACAGGTAAGCGATCTCTTGTCCTATCTAATTCTCCAAGACATATTATCCACCTATTTTACTTGAATCTCTTGCTTTCTGGAGTGGAATACCAAACCCAATGTGAGTAATTCTTTTCTCTCAGTTCAATGTTTCCCTAAACTATTTGTTATTATTATTATTGTATTTAACACGGTACTATAGTAGTAGTTGTTTACTGAAATGTTTCACCCACATCCAGGATATAAATGAGTTGGGTTATTGGAGATTAAAGAGACAGAGTTTTATGAACACTATGTATTTGGAGACATTGTGATGTCAGTACAAGCTCAGTTAAGTGGAAGGTAAGACGCCTGCCCCTCACCAAGTCAGATAAGCTGGGGCTTCTATGCAACCACTTAGAGCTTAAAGTATGATCTCTTCTGTATAAGGAAGACAGGGGGCTAGTGTCTGGCTCCTGTCTGACTTCATTAAGAAATTAATATAATTGGTTGCCTGATAATGGACAAGTTAAAGAAGAAATGGCCATTTGGGGATTGGCCTACACCCCAGAGTTTGTCAGAAAAAAGCGGTTGAAGACTTAACTTGAAATCAGATTCAGGGTTTATATTTTTACTGAGGCTGGAAACTATTGGGGAGGGAAGATATTTCCTACTGAGTTTGTCTCCTCTGCATTTTAAAAATCCATTTTTATGGTAACACATGGCACACATACAGAAAAGTAATACTGTACTGCTTAATGAATGATTATCAAACATCCATGTAACTATTACCCAGATAAAACATAGAATCTTGCCCAGGCATGGTGGCTCACGCCTATAATACCAGCACTTTGGAAGGCTGAGGCAGGCGGATCACCTGAGGTCAGGAGTTTGAGACCAGCCTGACCAATATGGAGAAACCTTGTCGCTACTAAAAATACAAAAAATTAGCCAGGTGTGGTGGTGCATGCCTGTAATCCCAGCTACTCAGAAGGCTGAGGTAGAATTGCTTGAACCTAAGAAGCAGAGGTTGCGGTGAGCTGAGATTGCACCATTGCACTCCAGCCTGGGCAACAGAGGGAGACTCCATCTCAAAAAAAAAAAAAAAAAAAAAAAAAAATAGAACCTTGCCAGGACTTTAGGAGCCTCCTACTTGCATCTTCCTAGTCATAACTCCTTTCCTCCTCCCGAAAGGTGACTACTTCTACGGAAATTATTCCTTTTTTGTTTTTATTAACTAAGTATGTGTCCTTAAACCACATTTCATTTTGCCTGCTTTTGAACTTGATGTAAAATAAATCATAGGGTATGTATTCCTTTGTGCCTGGCTTTTTAGGCTCAGCATCATGTTTGTGATATTCATCCATGTCATTCCACTTAGCTGTAGTCAGTTTACTTTCCTTTATAATGTAGCATTTTATTATATGATTATGCTATAATTTATTCAGAATATTATTGATGAATGTTTGGATTGTTTCTCTTTGGGGCTATTACTAGTAATGCTGTGATGAACATTCTTGTGTATGTCTGCTGGTGCACATGTACATGAAACCTCCAGGAGTAGAATTGGTATGGATAGTTCTAACTTTGCTGGCTACACCAAACTATTTCCCTAACTGATTTGTGCTCCCCTCTGCCCTAAAGCAGTATAGAAGAATTTATGTTGCTTCACATCCTTGCCCGTTTTTGGTATTGTTGGTCTTTTATTTCAGCCATTCTGGTAGGTGTATTTATTACTATGTGTTTTTAATCTGCCTTTTTCTGATTATTAATGAGATTGCATATCTTTTCATATGTGTATTGGCCATTTGGATTTTTTTTTGAAATGCCATTCTTTCATTTTTCTACTGTTACATGTTTTCTGATTGATTTATATGTATTTTTAACATAAGCCAGATACGAATTCTTTATCAGTTATACACAATTATCTTCTTTCATTCTATAAGATACTTTCTCTCCTAATTCTTGGTGTTTTAATAGTGTCTTTGCCAGCAGGTCCTAATTTATAATCAAAATGATCTGTCTTTTTCTTTATGGTTGCTACTGTTTATATCTGGTTTAAAAAATCTTTTTGTACCCCAAAGTCATGAGGTATTTTCCTCTAATATCATCCAATAAAAGCTTGTTTTCCATTCACTTTTAGATCTACAATGCAATTGGAATTTATTTTTGTAATATGATGTGATATAGGGAGTCAGATTTGTTTCTTAATATGGATATCTATTGTCCAAGCAAATAAAATAGACCATTCTTTCCCCAGTACATTTTTCCCAATACTTTTTCTCCCCTCAATACTTTAGAGCACTACCTTTGTCATAAATCCAGTGTCTTTGTGTGTATGGTATTGTTTCAGGCTGCTTTAATCTCTTTCTCTGGTCAGTTTGTTGATCCTAGCACCAATATCATGCTTTTAGAATTATCTTAATTATGTAATCTTAAATTTTATATTTATTATAAATAGTGTTTTAATCTTAAACTTTGTACTATTTTTGAAATTTGATAAAGCATCTTATCTATTGATCTGTGCATTTCCATACACATTTAGTTTCAACTTGTCAACTTCCACATAGACACAGACACAGACACGTGTGCGTGCGCGCGTGCGCACACACACACACACACACACACACACACACACACACACACATACACAGACAGAGACAGAGAGAGCATGTTGGGATTTTGATGGGAATTTCATTGAGTCTTACAATCTATGAATATTGTATATTTCTCCACATATTAAATATATATTCTTTAATTTCTCTCAATAATAGCTTATAATTTTATGCATAGGGAAGTCCATACTTTCTACACCTACATTATTTTAAAATATACTTATTAATTACATGAATTATTTTGAAATGCACTTACTAACTTTCTAAGATATGGGAATGTTCTAGCTATCTTTTTTGGGGGGCATTTCTAGTTCAAATACATTATTGTCAGTTGCTGAGAAGTGTTTTCTAATCTCCCAGTATGATGTAGATTTATCTACTTTTCCTACTTTCAGATTTTGCTTTATGTATTCCGAGACCACAATATTAGATACATGTAAATTTAGAATTGTGAGATGTTTATTTTCCTGATCAGGGGCCAACTCTTCCCACTGTTAGAGAAAAATTGTACAGAAACCTGACAACCTAGACACAAAGGCCTACAGGCAAGGTCATTTCTTTAGAAGGGAGAATGAGTGGACAAATGCCAGTTGACATCTTTAAAATATTATTAAAATTTTATGCAGACATAATATTTTTTAAAGTTGCTGCCAAGTCTGAATCTAAAGAATTTGGAAGAAGATATGTTGTTACATCATGCATGTTTATTGAATATACTTCTGGAGTACTTAAGATTTTCAGCCCATGTCTGTTTTAGAAATAGTGAATCAGAACAATGTGCTTGTTAAAATTTGCTTCATAAATGTAAAATAACATTTAATTGGAAATTATGGTTTTATATTGCTCTTTACAATCAGAGTTTATCCTACTCAATTCTATTGAGTGCCTTCTGCATGCCAGCTGCTTTTATGTGTATTATTTCATTTAATAATTAAAATTGATTTTTAGATAAAGAATTTACTCAATTTTGCAGAAGAGGAGATCAAAGCTCAGAACATCTAAATAATTTTACCAAAGCCACACAGTTAAATGCATTGCAGAATTAGAATTGAAACCCAAGATTCCTAGTTCTATAATTGGAAAAAGTTCATATTTGTAGCTAAGAGCTGAAGCTCCAGAAACAGGCTGCTTGAATTTGAACCTCTTACTAATTGTATAATTTGGGACAAGTTATTTGATGTCCGTGTGCCCAAATTCCTTAGTTGTAAAATGAGGCAAAGGCTAGCAGTGGTAATGATAAAACTTGTCACAGATCGGGTTCTCTAGGAGCAGATTCTGAGGTGGAGTCTAGTGCACGTGATGTTTGTTAGGGACTGCCCTTGGAAGCAATATCTGTGGAAGGCAGGGAGGAAGCAAGATTGGGGAAAGGGAGAAGTCAAAAACAAAGCAGACACTAGATGGCCCTGGCCACCCTTCTGAGGAGCTCTGAGATTAAAATGGCCCATCTGAGTTGTTCTGCCCTGGCCCAAATAGCCAGGCCTTTCTAACCCCTTCTGCATCCATCATTGGATTTGGGCCACCCTGAGACCGGCATATCCTTGGGCATTGGCCCTCTGTAACCAAAGCAATCCCTAATGGGGCTTCTGCTCCGCCAGAGGCAGAGTAAGTCCTTCCTTTGAAGGTGGTCATGTCTTTTGCAGTACTTACTTCATAGTAGTTTTTAGGACTAAATGAGATAATACAGAGAAAAGTTTCTGGTGAGCTCTCAGTAAGTTATTATTACTAGACCACAAACATGTTAACTCTAAGATTCATGCAATGTAAAAGGCATAAATTTAAAATAATGGAAATCAAATTGATCAGACTACTTGATAAAACTCAGCCAAGTTAAAAAAATTAAATTAGGAATGCTTAGTCAAACTTGTATTTTTTAACATATAGAAAATGTCAGAGATACATAATGGAAATTAGCATAATCACCTCTCATGTGCTTCTCATCTAATTCCCCCTTGACACATTTTTGGGTAGGAAGTAAACTGGAGGATTTTAGAACGAATCCCAAATGTAGTGTTTTACCTGTAAAGACTATGGCATACGTTTCTATCTCATTTCAAAATATTTTTACATAACCCCCATGTTATTACTACACCTAAAAGATTTAACATCTCTTAATATCAAGTACTAGTTCATACTGCAGTTTCCCATTTATCTCACACAGACTTATTTTTAGTTTTGTTTAAATCAGAATCCAAAAAGGGGCCCACATAATTTATGTATGTCTCTTAAACCTCTTTATTCTGTAACATCTCAAACTCTCTCCCCTTTTATTTAGGCCACTTATTTGCTAGGAAACTAGATCGTTTTCCCTGGAGACTGTCCCATATTCTGAATTTGACTACTTCCTTGTTGTGTCATGTCACTTAAAGAAAATATTCTTCAAAAACCCATATGTCCTATAAGCCTGTGGTTATATCTAAGCTTGACTGAATTCTGCTTCAACTTGAAGCAAGAAATATACTGAGGTTGTGCAATGCACTGAACCAAATTTCGATCGATAAAACACTTTTGATTAGTCATCTTTGTCATTTCTCAAGTTTCATTTAATTATTACTTTAATATTAGGCTTCTGTGAGATATTCATTCATATCTAAATGTAAGTTCAAGCTTTTATCTTTCTATAATGTTTTGTTAATGTATAAAGTTATATAAGTTGTATATAAATTCTAGAAATTAAACTTTAACCAAGTTACATTTGCCAATGACAGTTAATGAATAAGTGAAGCAGAATGATAATGACATAATAAAGCTTTTTTGTTGTTGTTGGCTTGTGACTTCACAAAGCTGTAGTTTCTTGACTAATAAGTATATTTAAATTCTATGAATTATTTATGATCTCATCTGCTGTTTACATAGTATCTTTTATAATCTTTTTATAAATTTTGCATATAAACCTAGAGGTTTCCCCCTTTGAGCTATTTACTTTATCTTAAAAATGGAAAGAATGGGTAAATAACATATTGACAGGCTAGGCTAGGGAGCAAAAGAAACTTCTGGAAATTATGTTCACCATATGTATATTTCTAAAAGACAGCTGAAGAAGAAATAAAGTGTGAATATAAACATATTTTATACACAACACAGTTATTCTAATACATTTATATATCCAATTACAAATAATTTATTATATTAATCTGCCTGTGAGTTTTCTTTTTTCTCAAGTAGTAGATATGCTATTTAAATGTTACTATAGTTTATAGAATCTAAGGATCCAAACACTGCATGTTCTTTGGTTTTCCATAATTGATTTTAACTTAGTTCTTTAACCCTTTTATCATCAAATGGAAAAAAATTCAATCTGGATACTTCAAGGTGACTCAGCCCCTTATGACAAAATATCTCTTTAAAATAAAAGTGTTCTTCAATCCAATTTAAGAACCTTCTTCTCAGGATAGCATCTGAGCAGGGAAACCTTGCATAGGATTAGGGTAGTGGTGTGTGATGAAGAGCATTGGTATGTTTGCCTAGTATGCTCTATAGCAGGGGTCTCCAACCCCCAGGCCATGGACCTACCAGTCTGTGGCTTGTTAGGAAGCAGGCCATACAGCAGGAGGTAAGTAGTAGGAGAGCAAGGGAGCATTACCGCCTGAGCTCTACCTCCTGTCAGATCAGCAGCAGCATTAGATTCTTATAGGAGCACGAACCTTATCGTGAACTGCATACACAAAAGATCTAGGTTGCATGCTCCTTATTAGAATCTAATGCCTGATGATCTGAGATGGAACAGTTTCATTTCAAAACCATCCCTCCTACCCCATGGAGAAATTGTCTTCCACAAACCAGTCTTTGGTGCCAAAAATGTTGAGAACTACTTCTCTATAGCAAGAGAATGGTGCCCTACATTCTGCTCTCCTATGCTTTAGCTGCTAACTGTGTAACTGAAAATAAAAGATTCATAATTAAGCTTTTCTGCAAAAACAGAAGTGTGGCTTGATCTCACTTATCCTTCCAAATATTTTATGAGTGCATTTGATTGGGTGGTTCTAAATCATGTCCAAACTCTAGCTGCAAAAGATGAATTGTTAGATTTCCAGGCTTTGGTCTAGGTAGGAGCACTAGGAGGAAAGTGGAATGGAGGTTGAACACCAGTCTGTCCTATCCATTTACCCTAACTCCCCTGTACAGGAGGTCTTCAGAAAAACAGCTGCATCCTCTCTCTACTCTCTCTAGAAGTATATCTCCAATCTGTTATGGGTTGAATTGTGTACATACGCTGAACTCCTAACCCCCAGTACCTCAGGATGTGACTTTTTTTGACATAGAGTTACTGCAGATATATTTAAAATGAGGTTATACTATAGTAGGGTGGGCCCCTAATCCAATATGACTAGTGTTCTTACAAAAAGGGGCAATTTGGATACAAATAAACATAGAGGAAGAACACCATGTGAATGTGAAGAGGGCATCTACCAGCCAGAAAAGGAGCCCTGGAACAGATCCTTTCCTCATGGCTCTCTGAAGGATCCAACCCTGCCAACACCTTGGTTTCAGACTTCAAGGCTCTAAAACTAAGATAATATGTTTCTGTTGTTTAGGCCATCCAGTGTGTAGCCCTTTGTACCACATTCCCCTAGCAAACTAATACAAACCCCTTCTTGATGCATGCTTTTTGACTCAGCTGAGCAATGTCAAGGGGCAGTAAGCCAGCAATTCTTGGTTAACTTCTGTATTTCTTCATTCAGGGTCATGAAACTTAGCTAGGATTTCTTTGTGCCCCTTGAAAGTAATGGGCAAATTAAGAAGGATGTGCTATGGTCTGAATGTATTTCTCCAAAATTTAAATGTTGAAACCCTAACTCCTAAGGTGATGATATTAGGAGGTAGGGTCTTTGGGAGGTAATTAGGTCATGGGGGTAGAGCTATGCTAAACAGGATTAGTGTATATATTTAAAAGGTCCAAGAGAGATCTGCCTTGATCTTGGACTTCCCCGCCTCCAAAACTGTTGGATCCTGGACTTTCCAGCCTCCAAAACTGTTGTTTATAAGCTACCCACTTTGTTGTAGCAGCCAAAACAAAATAAGATGGGGTGTCTGATTGCCCTGGTGGCATAGGTAAGCCTCCAACTGGAGTAATCGCCAGATAAGAAATGAATCCTGGTTAGCTATTTTCAGCATCACCCCCAAATCTCAGTATTTTCTTGGGGATTTTCCATTTTTCCCAAGGATAGTCAACATGGAAAGAGTAGTATTGTTCTCCATAATGACTTTATATTATGTCAGCTTAAGTATTATGGAACTAGGTTTCTTGCAGTTTCCTTCTCCACATCTATTTGGCCGTGTGACAATACTCCTCCCATTGAGGTATGGGTCTCTCTTTGCTTGAGTCTGGATGTCCCTATGACAGAGTGATGCAACATACTCTGAGGCTAGGTCTTTAGGAGAAACAGCTTCCACCTGGTCTTTCTGGACAACCCCATCTGGGAGAGATCCTCAGCACAGGAAGAGACTGCCTGTCAGCATTCCAGCCAACAGCTAGCATCACCCATCACATGTAAAAGAGGAAGGGAGTCCAAGGTGACTCCAGCTGCAGAGTATCTAACCACACAGCATGAGAGATGCCAAGCTAAGCCAAGCCAGTCCCCAGAATAGTGAGAGATGATAACATAATTATTACTGGTTTTAAGCAACTAAATTTTGGTATGATTTGTTATACCTAATAGATAATTGGATTAATCTGCTTGTGCCTATTTACAACTCTGATTTCCCAAAACTTTCCTATTCTCTTCTCAACCTCATTCAACAATAGAACCTCCAGTAGTGAAGAGGAAAACCAATCATTCAAGTTTGCATATTATTCCTAGCAGTTTAAAAATGTTTATTTCAAGCTGTGAACCTGTGTTTTCATGGGGACAGTGAGAAAATAAGTTGGTTTTCAGTGTTTCAGATTATTGCCACCTATCACTCTTTTATAGACAACAGGACTCAACAGATATGTACTTTCAAAGACAATACTATCTGCCAACAGATGAGTGGATAAAATATGCTCTATACATACAGTGGAATAGTTAGTCATGAAAAGGAGTAAGTCTTGCACTTGCTGTAACATACATGAACCCTGAAAACATTATGCTAAGTGAAATAAGCGAGACACAAAAAGACAAATATTGTATGATTCCATTTACATGTGGTACCTAGAATGGGCAAATTCATACAATAGAAAGTGAAATAGAGGTTACCAGGGACTGGAAGGAAAAGGAAACAGGAAATCACTATTACAGAGTACAAAGTTTCTGTTTGGAATGAAAAAAAATGTGGAAACAGATAATGTTGATGGTTATATAACACTACTTATAAATGGTTAAAGTGGTAAATTTTATATTATTTATGTGTATGTATATGTATATACACAGTTGTTCTTTAAAAGACTGTAAACACTTGGCTTTTTTTTAACGTATCTGACAAATTTGACAAATACTTGCTGAATTGCTATCAGGTACCAGGCATTGTGGTAGGCAGTGAAAAAATAAACATGATTAAGACACAGATAGCGCCTTCCCTGTAGTCAAAATCCCATTTATTCCTAAAGGCCTAGTGTAGATGCAGCCACCTCTTCATTAAATTCTTTCAACAAGGATTTTTTAGTAACTGTGAAGGACATAAGAGTAAATAAATCATGGTTCTTACCCTCAAAGACTCTAGTACCTACTTAGGAAGATGGAACATGTGCACTAAAAGATAAGAGAGCTTACCTTGTACTATTTTTCTTGACAAATATTATTTAATTGATAGCAGATCCTTGGAGAGTTGACAGGAAAACAGTCACTTTATGGTAGATTGATGGGTGGGAGAAGGTGGGACTTTGAGTACATAAAGGAGGTCATACCTTGTTCAGTGAGCAAGACAGCAGCATGAGCATGTTTGGAGGACAATGGGTAGCTGTATGGATGGTTTTTATAGTAGATTTATATGAAATGTAGAATGTACTTTTATCTTTAGATGGTATCTAAAGGGGGATACAAGCCATAAGAAATGTATACATTTCCGTTAAAAGGCTCATTTTTATTTTGTTTTTCTTTACCTTTCTGTATATCATAGTGTTGCTTTATATTCTCATTTGGTTGATATTTTATATTATATGCAGTTAAGTATATACAGTTAAGTTTCCATTAAGGGCATTATTAACATTTTTAAATTTTTTAAATCTCATTCTTTCAGGAAAACAAAGTCAAGCCACCAAATTTGACCACTAAAAAAATGTTCAGGGCATCTCTGACTCAAGCCACTTCCATAAAACCTGCCTGTGCTCAAAGTCTTCTACCATGTTCAATAGCAGTGGACCACAAGGTGGCGCTTTCAGTCAGCCTGCCAACATCAGGCATTTTCTCACCTTTGCATCTCCAGCCAGAGTCTGTTCAGGGTAGAAAGAAATCCCTGCCTAACAGGGCTCCACAAGTACATTTGGAAGTATTAATGCCCAACAGAGGAAATACTGAAGTTCAACACACAAATCTTAGCTCCCAAAGTAATATCACTTCCAAATTTGTACCAGTTTTCAAAAATAAATTGTTACAAATGAACAAAAATACCTCAGTACTTAGCAGCCCAAAAAGAAAACAGCATATTGTGACACAATCTAACTTGTTTTCACTCAAAACTAGTATGATCCAGCATGATAAACTCAATTTAGGTCCAGCTATTAAAAAAAGATCTAATAGTAACATTCAGATGCAGGCTGCTAGCAATTTAAATCAGGAGAATTCCAGACCTCTGCAAGAAAAAAAAATTAAGTCCTGTGAAAATATGACAGAATTTTCCTCTTCTAATCGAAAATCGACTGTAAGCTTAAACAAAAGTAAGCAACTATCTAATAGTGCAGTATTTCTGATGTCAAATAACAATTTAGGGATGATAAAAAGTGCTGTTGACTTCCAAATGAATGGAAAAGAAAATTTAACAGACAAACATATAACACAAATGTTAGGGAAAAGCCATGGGTCACTAAAACTGAAAAGACAACCACACATTTTTGAATCAGCTGGAGAAACAGAAGATCCCCGACTGCTACAGCAGCAATCAGAAAATCAAGCTAAAGAAGTTGGTACAAGTGACCACACACTGATAGTAAGCAAAATAACCCATAGGTCTAAGAGAAAATTATGTCCAGAGTCTTCCAAAACTTCAAAGAAGCATCGTTCCATTACTGTGCACTATGACCAATCCAGTTCTTCTAAGAAGCAGGTAAAAATAAAATTAATCTGACACTATTTATCATATGCTAGACCTTTAAAACCCCTAAATAAGGATTTAAATGGTTTCCCCAAGATCATCTAGAGCCATCTAATTAATAAACAGAATATCTACCCTAGGGCAACTGTACGTATACGCAGTTAATTTGTAACAAAATGTAATTCTTCAATCTAATACAGATACTTCACTCAGATAAGTCAAAACCTAAGAAATCTCTCATCATTCCTAATGCTTAGAACATGGACCTGAAAGAAGAAAATGTCTACCAGGTAACAGATATCTTTTGTGTTTACATTATCTGAATTAGGAGGGCCAAATTTAGGGGTTTCTACCCTCTTGGTGAGAAGGAGCTACTTTTAAATTCTTTGAAACACTAAAATCAGCAAAGAAATAGGACATGGTGGGAACAGTACACCCCTTGAATAAGAACTGTACACAGCAGCTGTTTTGTAATGACTCTGAAGAGGGACAGGTGCAAGTGGTCCTCTGTGGGCCTCCTCCCACTCTGTTTTGGGGATCCTTGCAGACTAAATCACTCACACAGCAGCAGCAGACTATCTTAAGACAGAAGATTTGGACAGCTAACTTTTTGGGATACCTACCCAAGCTAATAAACCTGAAATGATGTTTCAAAGGTAAATTATTTAGTTAAAATTTACTCCAAAAGTGCTACAGTTGACTACGTTTAAACTTGATATTCAGTTGATAACACTGAGTTCATGGCACTGAATTTACAAAATAATACATCTGGAAATTACATTTCATTTTGTTCTGCCATCTGTTCTAAGAACAAACATATTACTAAAATACCCACAAGTTATTTTTTACATAGAACTATTGGAATACTTTCAATTCAGATTCTTTAAGAATCAACCAGAAAACATTTTCTTTTCCAACTGTTATTTCTTCCTATAACTAATAGAATTTTCAACCTGATTTTAATTAACTAAAAGGTATTTCAGTTTGTTCCTGTATACACTATGATGTTGTATTTTATGTACATTTTGACATCTTAACATTTTAATGCACTCAGTAGGTGGTTGAGGAAAAAATGCAGGTGCCTTGAAGATGTTACTTGCATTTTAGCAAACTGACACAAGAACAGAAAATCAACACCACATGTTCTCACTCATAGGCAGGTGTTGAACAATGAGAACACATGGACACAGGGAGGGAAGCATCACACACTGGGGTCTGTTGGGGTGTAATAGGGAAGGGACAACATGGGGTAGGGAGGTTGGAGAGGAATAACATGGGGAGAAATGCTAGGTATAGGTGATGGGGGCATGGAGGCAGCAAACCACATTGCCATGTATGCACCTATGCAACAATCCTGCAAGTTCTGCACATGTACCCCAGAACCTAAAGTGCAATAAAATTTAAAAATAAAGAAATGAAATCTATTCTAGGTTTCAGACTGTTTTAGAGGTATAGCACTTTCTCACTTTGAACTACTTAAGTCCTCACACAATTTTAAAAATTAAAAAGTCATCCAGGAGTGGGGGCTTACACTTGTAATTCAAACACTTTGGGAGGCTGAGGCGGGTGGATTGCTTGAACTCAGGCGTTCCAGAGCAGCCTGGGTAACATGGGTGAGACCTTGTCTCTGCAAAAAATATAAAAAAGTAGGGCTGGGCGTGGTGGCTCACACCTGTAATTCCAGCACTTTGGGAGGTCGAGTTGGGTGATTCACCTGAGGTCAGGAGTTTGAGAGCAGCCTGGGCAACATGGTGAAACCTCGTCTCTACTAAAAATACTAAAAATTAGCCGGGCGTGGTGGCAGGCGCCTGTAATCTCAGCTACTTGGGAGGCTGAGGCAGGGGAATCGCTTGAACCCAGGAAGCAGAGTTTGCACCATTGCACTCCTGCCTGGGTGACAGAGTGAGACTCTGTCCCCCTCCCCCCAGAAAAATTAGCTGAGCATGGTGGTATGTGCCTGTAGTCCCAGCTACTTGGGGGGCTGAGGTGGAAGAATTGCTTGAGTCTGGGAGGTGGAGGTTACAATGAGCTGTGTTTGTCACTGCACTCCAGCCTGAATGACAAAGTGAGACCCTGTCTCAAAATAAGCATTAAATTAAATTTTAAAAATTATTTCATCAGGTAGAAGGAGTAACATAATGAGAAAATTTTTAATATTTCTTTAAATTTATGGGGTACAAGTGCAATTTTGTTACATCGATGTATTACAGTGGTAAAGCCAGGGCTTTTAGTGTATTCATCATTGGAATAATATACATTGTACTCAATTAAGTAGTTTGTCATCATTTACCCCCTCCCACCCCATACTCTTCTGAGTATTGTCCATCATCCTGCACTCTGTGTCCATGTATATACATTATTTAGCTCCCACTTGCAGGAATCATTATAGAAAATAATTTCCCCCAAATAGAAACTTGATACATACTCCTGTAAAAACCTTGAGTAGTACAGAGCAGTTTCAAGAAAAAAGTTTTTTAAAAAATCTGTAATTTCTCTTTACAGAGATGACCATTCTGAACATACAATGAACACTCTTCCAGAAGTCTCTCACACTCCTGTGACCATGAAATCAGCTCTGCATACTACTGTGGAACCTCCTTTTTCCCTCAACAGTTTCTTTTTAATGTTTGCGTAGCATTTTGTTATATGTGGGTGTACTGTATTTACTGGTCGCTACTGATTGACACTTCAGTTGTTCCCAGTTGTTCACTATTACAACAATGTCATCTAAATAGTCTCATGCAGATCTTTGCAAAACATCCAATGATCTTATACAGTAATTTTGATAGTTGAAAATATCTTTATTTTGCCCTTACTATTATTGAAATTTGAATTTATCATTTTTATTGTCAAAATTTTCAAACCACCTAAAGCACAGATAAGAGTATGAAGAATCTCTAAGTACCTATTGCACAGATCTACCAGTTTTTAATATTTTGTCACTATTTCATCTGTTCCTCACAGACATGCTCTTTTTTGCTGTAATCTTTTAAAGCAAATTCAAGACATCATATAATTTTACTCATAAACACTAAAATATATATTTCTAACATAAGATATAGTATATTTTTTCAGGAAACAAGAATGTATATATATATTACATTTTGGGGATCTCTACTATATCTCTGCAGGCTCGCTAAATTTCACTTTTGTTTTTACATACAAACTAACAGGAAGCCCTGAATAAATGTAAAACCTATTTCTCAACAAACTAGAGTCTTTATTGGGGTGGAGATTTCTGTTTTCACTAATGCTCATTAGCATCTTCTGTGTGCCAGGCAGTGGGGAAAACAGTGTCCACTCCAGAAATGGATGAGAGAGCCATGGCCTGAGCCCTGAGGGCTGATGGTCTAGTCTCAATCAAATTCATTCTGGGTTCCTGGCACAGACTTAGGAATATGTATGTATGAAGCACATGTCCAGAATGACCTTCTGCTCCATATTACAAATAAATTAACATTTGAAAAAACAGAGAAATAGAAATGCAGCTTCTCAGTCAATATTATTCTGGCTTTCAAACATTTTAGATTTTTAATGTACAAAATATTTGTTGCAATATATTTAAAAGAAACAAAAAATCTTCATTGGACATTCCACTGAAACAATTATTATATAAAAATAGCCAGTAGAGATCCAAGTATAAGTAACTCTGATCTTGTAAATGTGATTTATTGTTTCCACCATTTCACTAAACCATTGCAATTAAAAGCAAAAATAAACACAAAGTCTCCTTCAAACAGTAAATGTGACTCCTCCTCCTGAAACTGTGTTTAGTTAATTAATTTGCTATATACCTTTAAGCATTCTGTTTTCCAGAATTATCTCTATTTCCCAATTATTTTACCATTTTCATAAGGATACACATTTTGTCTGAAGCCCATTTTTGAGTATGGTTTTCTCATTCTCAAGTTTGCATTATAGATATCTAGTAGACTGCTATAAAGAGTGGTATGTCACTTTGTGAGGCTGTGGTGAAAATAACATTGGTAAATATGCATATTTGATGAGCACAGTCATCCAAGGCATGTAGTCATTCCTGAAGCCAGCCTTCCCCACTGTTCCACATACTCACAGGCTGCCTTCCTGCTACTGCCCACTCACTATGCCTCAGGTAATGGAGACGTACTTTATTATTACACTGAGCAAAATAATGAAAACCATACATCCACTGCTGAAGTAGTATGTAGCATCTTCCAGTTCTTTATGTAAGTCATCTTGGTAGTCCCCTCCTATATTCCATTACTGTCTAAAATTTAGAATATATAGTATAGTACTTCAGTTAGATCAATGTTAACCTACATAGCAAAACCTGCCATGTTAATATTAGCCTATTTTTTGTTCAAAGTAGGTTTTATTTTTATCTTACGATATTTATCCTAATGAAAGTTATAAAAATATATGCATATATGTATACATATGTGTGTGATTTAATATGGATTTTTGATTCATATTTTATGTTCCAAGAAGAGGGTCTAGGTAAAATTTCTGTGTTCAAAATCACCAGAGAAATCAATTAAGATTTTGATTCATTTTAAACACTGCAATTTTTGAAAGCCAAAATAATTCCAAATCTAATTAGGGGGAGCTACATTTTACTTCTTTGTGTAAACTTTTGGTGATCTATATTCAGTGTAGACCGCCCTCCCACCATAAATTATTCTTATGTTACAATTGTACATTAATTTTAGAATGATTTTAATTTTAAAACCATAAGTAAATAATTTTATGTTTGCCTATGTCCAGGAGCTTAAGAAATCAGCCATTACTTTAAAAAACCTATGGCAACGTCAAAATTAATGCCAAGAATCATATTTCTAGGAAGCAAAAGTGCTTTTCTTATATATTAGGTTTCATAGTATTGGTTGCCTACTATATTTGTTTTTATTTCTATTATATATCATAATTATACATTTTTATTTTATTTGCATTTGTAAAAAAATGTGGACTTGTTAAGGATGAGCTTTTATTTGACTAACCAGTTGACCAATTTTTGCTCTGTTTTCAAATTGCATATGATGGGCTATTACATGGAAACTGCTAATATAAGGTGTATTTATTGATAAGATTGGTCGGTATTTACAAATATTTAAGAATGTCATGGTCCTTATGTTTTGATGCTTAAAATGTTCATGTTGTTGAACCCTACATAATGTCTTATTCCAAATTAAAAATAATAAAGGTATTTCTAATAGATGTAGTTTTCATATGTCAGAGTGACTCTGTATGGGAATGGAAAGGGTTAGATAAACTACAAATTTCTTTCCCTCTGTGGTTCCATTTCTTCACATGCATTTGATGCTGGACTCACGTAAACTACCTTAGGTCCTTAACACTTCATAGAACTTTTATTCTCAAAAGTCCTTCTTTCTTTCATGTGACAGATATTTTCATTTGACAGATATTTCATTTGACAGTATTTGCTATGTGCAACCATTATTGTAGATACTTGCAGTATATCAGTGAATACTGACATTACATTCTAGCAGGGAGACACAGATGATAAGGATAAGTAAGTAAATTATATAATGCAATAAAAAATGGCAAGTACAGTGGAAAAAAACAGAACATGGTAAGGGAAATAGTAAGGGTAGGCTTCCTTGAGCAGAGACTTGAACAAGGAGAGCAAGTTGGCCACATGGAGTTGTCCTCTCAAGGACGTGCTTTTTAGGCATAAGGAACAACCTGTGTGTTGGCAAAATATTTCAGGGGGAGCCCAGGTTAGAGTAAAAGGAGCAGAAAGGAGGAATTGCTTTACCCTGACTGAAATGGGGTGGAGGCCAGAAAAGTGAAGTGATCTGACTAGGTTTCAACAGGACCCTTCTGACTGCTGTGTTGTGAATAGACTTGGGGTGAGGGGGAGGGGTGAGAAGAAACAGGGACCCCAGTTAAGAATCCAAGAAACAGATGGCAGTGATGGCTTGCACCACTACGGTAGCGGTGGAAGGTATGAGCAGTGGGGATTCTGAAGGTAGAGCCCACTGGCCCGGGGATTTAAGAGAAAGAGGTGTCTAAGATGGCACCAAGATTGCTGGCTCACTTGGAAGCATGGGGTTATCATGAACGGAAAGGAGAGAGTGGGTTTTGGAGTAAGAAGACTGAGAATTGACCAAGGGATTTCACACATGGGGGCCATTGTTATCCTTAGGAGCAGTTTCCGTGGAATGGATCTAAGAGAGAAGGGAGGCTGGAATTGGAAATCCCAAGAACAGACAGCTCCTTTGAGAAGAGTCATCAGTAGACTTTTCTAAATCCTTTTTTTCGTTTTCTCCTAAATTGTTTTTTGGATTATCCCCCTCTTTAAGTGCTGTTCTCCCATGGCCTCTATAATCTTAACATTTCTGGATGCATTTTTCCAGTTTCCTTTACCAACTGGCATTAAGTACCCCAGGGACCCTGAAGGAAGAACACATTTGGGTCACCAGAGAAATGGGAAGAAGGCCATTCCAAAGACTATAATGAGCAGAGGCATGAAGATGCATGTGTGCTTAGGGAGCAGTGGATGCCGATTCTGGTGTGGTTAGCATGAGCTTCACGTGGGGACCAGAATGACTGCAGATGAAACGGGAAGGTTGTCCCAGGCCAAGGCCATGAAGTCATCCAGAGGCTTTCAGAAAACAAATTCAGAGCGCAGAGATGGAAAATCAGACTCCAGGGACAGACCCAGAAATGGCAGCTCCTGGAAAGCTGAGAGCACTATGTGCCACAGAGGTGGAGTCAGAGATGAAGCTGCACTTTCAAGCTTGAGCTGCTGCAAGGAGAGTGTTGCTTTTTAAAAACAGAAGATGAAGGCATGGTAGGAAACAACGTGAGCAGATAGACGTCTGGTTTATGTGTTACAAACTGGGTTGGTGGCATTAGTGGAAGACCCTGGTAAAGATAACCAATCGATAATGAGACTGAATCTCAAGAACTGACAGCATTTGGGAGTCATCCACGTAGACATGTCAGCGGGATGTGTGTGTGTGAGTGCATGCAGTGAAGCCAACTGATGCTGGAGGAGTGGGTGGGGGAAGGAGGATGGAGACAGTCCGGCTCTGGTCAGAATGCAGAGGTTAGGTCAGGGAGGCTGGGGAGAAGGGAGTGTCAGGAGCTCACAATGTCAAGTACGGTGAAAAGTCCAGGAAAAGGACCTGAAAAGAGATGAGGGGACTTAGTGTCTGAGGGGGTTCGAATGGCCACCACAATCCAAACACATGTCCTGAAGATGTGAGGGGTGGTCAGGCCTGGAGGACACAAGGGCCCGAGGCCTCTGTGAGAAGCTCGGCTGTGAGGGAACACAAAGAAAGATCAAAGGTAGCACAAACAAAGAAGCAAATGGGTAGACACTTAAACTAAGGCAGGAAATTCAAAAGTACCTAGTGAGAATATAAAAATAGAATTTTTTCATTTTAACCTTTTCCCCTATGATTTTTTAAATCTGGGGAACCTGCTACCATTTAGTATTAACAGAAGAAAACTCATAGTCATCTTAGTTTATTGAAGAGTAATATGACTGAATCTTTCAATATTACATGTATTTTTACTCCTGTTTTCTGCAGTAACATTTTTTCTAATTTCCATAAAAAATAAAATGCATTAATGTTGCATTTCACAAAGATCATCCTGACTACCAATATATATTCGGTATATTATGAAATTCCTGAATTTAAAAATATTCAAGAAATGTTTTGCTATTTGCATTCAAAGATTATATATTATTCACCTTGATACTATGATATATATTATGTAGAGTATACACACAATATTTTAAATTTTATTCCACTAGCTTCTTTCCAAAGTATCGAAAGGAATTATTTCTAGTTGACAGCCTGTATTCCTATTAAGAAGTATAAATCTGCAATCATCCTCAAGGAGAAAATTGGCAAAACATAATTGGTTCTGTGGTTTATTCTGTATATACTTTACCACTAAAATAATTTTGAAATATTCAAATCTCTGAAGTACGTGAGTTAAGCTACCTTAAAATAAAATCCCGAGTCATTACTTACAGGGACTATATATCGGTATAGTCATTTTGCTAAAATGAATAATATAATGGAATTTTATAAACAAACTGTTTAAACCATTACGTAGTCTTATTTTTTTTAATTATCCTGATAACTCACAGAACCATAAAGTTTTATTTCTGAGAATAAAAATTTTATATAAATTTTTAAATTCATTTCTAGCTCTGCTGCTTACCAATACTGCCATACTGAAATAAGCCTATTAAGCAATATAGAAATATATTAAGCAAAGAAAGCCTCACTACCTTCTTTTCCTCTTTAGTTCTAAACTCCTGTTTTGGTATGAAGCAGAATTTGAAAACTAATAGCTTTCTGCTTGGGCCAATGGCAGCCTGGGTTATTCAAATTCACCTCTCATGGGCAATGGCCCATCATGCTGGATTTTTTAAAGTTTATAGAAACATCAAAGAACCAAAATAATATAAGGAATTACCTGTCTAAAACCAGAAATGTAAGCAGGAACCAAAATGAACTTTGCTCTGAAAAGATGTGATGACCCAGATTTGAAGCTGAGCTGCAGTTTTGATGAACGGAGGAGTCGGCGGAATAGAAATAAAGAAGTCCAGGGCCCGCCAAAGCGGGGCATCTCCCCAGCACTGCCCACAAATCCCTGCCACACACACATTTTGCTGTGTCCCTGCATGGCTATGCCCTCAGGGTGAAGCTAAGCCACAGTCACCAGCTCTACTCCCACCCGCAGGGCACCACAGAGGTCTATTGCCTCAGTGCTGAGTAAAGTAGGGGAAGAGCATACCTGAAAAGGACCCCCACCATCCCTGGTGGATTTCAGCCTACACTCATATCGCCAGCATGATCCAGGAAACCTCAAACCAAGAATTTAGTTTAAAATAACAACAGAAATATCAAAAACTTTAGAGAGAAAAAATGAAACTTTACTGAGTGCCATTAAAGGGAATCAAAATAAATGGAGAACTTTGTTATATTCATAGATTAGCCTTGGAGATGTGGATATAACTCATCCCAGAGATGAGAGTGAGCAAGGACGCCTTTATTAGCAAACAGGTGGCCGTGGCCAGGTGTAGTGGCTCACGCCTGTAATCCAAGCACTTTGGAGGCCAAGGCGGGAGGATCACCTGAGGTCAGGAGTTCAAGACCAGCCTGACCAACATGGTGAAACCCTGTCTTTAAAAAAATAAAAAATAAATAAAATATTAAAAAATAAAACAGGTAGCTATTTTTCCTGCTGAACCTAAACCCTCAGCCATGGCTGAAGAGTTAGCTTCAAGCACCGTTTCACTGGGACTCAGGCAGGCATCACTGGGATCAATTATGGTCTTTTTTGTGTTGATCCCAGTCTCACACTGCCATGGGGACAAAACATTTCCCTTTGTTTTGGGCCAGTTTGGGTTGGAATTATTGACCCTTGTGACTCAAGGAGTCATAAGCAGTACACATCCTAATTATAAAGAGTTTATACAGAAAAATGTAAAGAAGGAAATTAAAAATCACCCCAAATCCCACCACCCTAAAATAATCATTGTCAACAGATTGGCATTCTTCCCTACAGATTTTCATGTGTGTGTGGATATACCTAGATTTATTCTTACAAAATTCCCAGCATACTGCATGTTTTGTACCCTGATTTGTTTCAGTTAACATTGTTTTATATAATCCTCATTTGTTGAATATGCTTCAAAAATGATTTTAAGAAAAGTACAAATTTTCATTATATGAATATGTCAAACATATTTGTTTTCTTATTATCCTGCTCTTCTTACTCTATGAAAGATTTTAAAATTTGTACAGTTGCTTTTCAAGGCCACAAAAGAAGAGCTTTTTGATCAGTATTATTTATACCAAATTCTGTAAAAATACATACAATAATATATTAAATTGTACTATATTTTATAATTAAAGGTACTTTCACTACAATTTTCCATCTGTTATTTCTCATAATATCATGAGGTTCTTATTTTCATTAATGAGATGAGAAAATTGATGTGGAGAGAATTTATAAAATGTACTCAAAATCATACAACTAACTACATCTACATGACAATGCTAAGGTTGGGACCCAGATTTTCAGATTTTTCTAGATTTGTACTTTTAGGTGGCTGTGGCTCCTGACCTTCTAAAAGGGTGACATTCACAAAAAAGTAAGTTAGCCTTTGCTGAGCCAAGTAAAGAGAAAGAATCCATCCTCGAATGCAGGGAGCTACAGGGCCG